CAAATGTATCAACCCATGGAGGTCTGGATTTGGAGTCACCCTCAAAATTAAAGTGGAAAACCACACTACAGGCTGATCCAACTTTGATGTACTGTCCTTAAAACAAGTCAAAATGAGGCTCAGTAGTGTGTGTGGCCTCCACGTGCCTGTATGACCTCCCTACAACGCCTGGGCATGCTCCTGATGAGGTGGCGGATGGTCTCCTGAGGGATCTCCTCCCAGACCTGGACTAAAGCATCCGCCAACTCCTGGACAGTCTGTGGTGCAACGTGGCGTTGGTGGATGGAGCGAGACATGATGTCCCAGATGTGCTCAATTGGATTCAGGTCTGAGGAACGGGCGGGCCAGTCCATAGCATCAATGCCTTCCTCTTGCAGGAACTGCTGACACACTCCAGCCACATGAGGTCTAGCATTGTCTTGCATTAGGAGGAACCCAGGGCCAACCGCACCAGCATATGGTCTCACAAGGGGTCTGAGGATCTACCTAATGGCAGTCAGGCTACCTCTGGCGAGCACATGGAGGGCTGTGCGGCCCCCCAAAGAAATGCCACCCCACACCATGACTGACCCACCGCCAAACCAGTCATGCTGGAGGATGTTGCAGGCAGCAGAACGTTCTCCACGGCGTCTCCAGACTCTGTCACGTCTGTCACATGTGCTCAGTGTGAACCTGCTTTCATCTGTGAAGAGCACAGGGCGCCAGTGGCGAATTTGCCAATCTTGGTGTTCTCTGGCAAATGCCAAACGTCCTGCACGGTGTTGGGCTGTAAGCACAACCCCCACCTGTGGACGTCGGGCCCTCATACCACCCTCATGGAGTCTGTTTCTGACCGTTTGAGCAGACACATGCACATTTGTGGCCTGCTGGAGGTCATTTCGCAGGGCTCTGGCAGTGCTCCTCCTGCTCCTCCTTGCACAAAGGCGGAGGTAGCGGTCCTGCTGCTGGGTTGTTGCCCTCCTACGGCCTCCTCCACGTCTCCTGATGTACTGGCCTGTCTCCTGGTAGCGCCTCCATGCTCTGGACAATACGCTGACAGACACAGCAAACCTTCTTGCCACAGCTCGCATTGATGTGCCATCCTGGATGAGCTGCACTACCTGAGCCACTTGTGTGGGTTGTAGACTCCGTCTCATGCTACCACTAGAGTGAAAGCACCGCCAGCATTCAAAAGTGACCAAAACATCACCCAGGAAGCATAGGAACTGAGAAGTGGTCTGTGGTCACCACCTGCAGAACCACTTCTTTATTGGAGGTGTCTTGCTAATTGCCTATAATTTCCACCTGTTGTCTATTCCATTTGCACAACAGCATGTGAAATTTATTGTCAATCAGCCAGGGAAGCTCAGGTGAATTTTGCAGTATATGATGTGAATAAGTCATTTGTTGCTCAGTTGGTAGAGCATCGCGCTTGCAACGGCAGGGTTGTGGGTTCGTTTCCCACGGGGGGCCAGTATGAAAAAATGTATGCACTCACTAACTGTATGTCGCTCTGGATAAGAGCATCTGCTAAATAACAAAAAAAATGTAAATGAATAATACAAAGTTCCGTCTTGAATTGATGGGTAGACCTACAGCAGCTTAAGGTTAAAGCTACAGCCTGGAATCTGGGAATAATGGTCATTTCAACTATTGAACCATTATATTATCCAAGAATAGAATCAATCTATAAATGCACACCAAGGTCATTCTTTGTCATGCCTCATTTTAGGAGGGTCAGATGGTGACAGAGGTCTCAGCAGAGTCAGGCAGCCAGGGAAGACCAGTCTGTGACAGAGGTGAGGTGAATTGTTGCTGATACAACACTTTATTCTCTCTGTCCAGCAAACACTGGACAAGCCAGATGTTATTTTAAGGCAGTCTGACAAACCTCCAAAGTTGATTTCCAAACTGTATCAAGGGTTGATAGAGGTTTTTCCCGATGACACAAAACATGTAAAACAAAAACGTGAGGAAGACCTGGGAGACGCTATTGATGATGATATGTTAGAATGCCCAGTCATGTTCATATAATCTCAGACATAAATTACTGCAGTTTAAGACCATCCATAGAACGTACTATATGCCAGTGAAACTGAATATCATGCACTCCAAAATTGCATTATTCTGCTGGAGGTGTAAAGCACAAAAGGGGACATATTTGCATATGTTGTGGTCTTGTGAAGGCTGGCTGAATTCTGGCATAGAGTATGTTCTTTTATCTCCGCATGTCTATAGATTCTCCCTTCTCCCTGTTTTTGTTTGCTTGGAAATGTCGATACTGGAGACTGTTATCAGAAGAAACTGTGTAACCTAGCATTTATAGTGGCTAATAAATGCATTGCCATTAATTGGAAGGTTGGTTATCCTGCCACAATGTATGGAAGAAATGTCAAGTGACATACAGTATCACTAGATTTGTTTTAAGATTAAGGGTATACTGTGCAACTTTCATAAGGTCTGGATGCCTTATATAGAATACTGTACGACAAAAGGTGTCTGTATTGAAAACATGCCCACGTCAGGGGAGATACCTATTTAGGTAATCCCAAGCTGCTGGGCTGCTCAGTCCTGGCCCTGAGGGTCTGCTGTACTGTTGTCACTCTGGCCTTGGCCTAACACACCTGAAACCAATAATGAATGTTTCACTAAGATCCTAAAGCTGAGTGGGGTGTGTTGGGTTGGGGCGCTACAGGGCCGTGGATCCCTGGGGCCAGGACGGGGTGACCCAGCTATATTGTGTGCAAGTAAAAAGAGCTCTACAGTACTATTAGGCCTATGATATTGTTGAGGGTTCTTTGCACAGTGCTGATATTCTCTTATTCTTAAACAAACTTTAAACTTTAGAAAATGACACAGACAACGGCTTCTGAGTATATGTAAAATATCTTTAGTTATGCAATTGCAGGCAGAAGTTAATACAGAGTCAACAGGATTTGTATAGCTCTTCATAAGTTCTGCAAAGTGTCTAAAACAATCTCTGCTTTTTATACTAGCACTGCCTTCCCATAGCGTGATGTTTACCCCTGACCCTGAACTTGCCCTAGCAACAACAAAGTATTCTTCCTAATGCTGTCTTCCCACGAACTCCGTATCAGGGGGTGAGGTGTCAGACAATAAAAACGAGACATGTCTAAAAGACAATGTGGCAATTGTGGTTGCAGGTTTCTGAGAACTTTCTGCTGTCAAGGCCTCCATAGTTTTTAATAATGTAAGCAAATGCGCATAATAGATCATATATTCCCCATCAATATGAATTATATGGAGGGTTTACTGTTTATGTGTGTTTTCATTCAACTTTTGTTTTCCAAACCTTTCCCTTGAGACACAAAAAAAAGATGGGAAGGAAGTTGTGTTGGGGAGAGAGTTGAGTTATTGACTAGACTGGTGGGGGTTGGGCGTGTAGGCGGCTCGGGTTGGCTGGGCGGTCTGGTTGAAATTTGATATAGAGGATGTCTTAAAGACAATCAAAATGGTCTTTGTACTTTATTTGTAAGAGTTGTTCATTTGTTAGGCTATTGGTTAAAGGTGCAACACAATATTGATTATTGAATTATCATGGATCTAGTTCAACTTATCAATCACTTAAACATATTTAATAATCTGTTACCTAGCTTGATGACTGTGGCCATTTTTGCTTACTTTTTGTTGTTCTAAATAGAGACGGCTAGAAGGGTCATGGGTCATATTAGATTGTGTAGAAATGCAGGAAATGTGCTTTAGACGCCCCCCAAAATTGGAGGACCCCCAGATCCCTGCCAAGTTATGTCCCCCTCTATAAATAGCACTGCTGGGTGATTTAAAAAGTCATAGTCAAATCGATTAAATAATATAATAATACTCTTAGCTAAAAAAATGAATGTACAATATGTAGAATCTATGAGAATAGAAAGGTTCAGAACTTTTGTGAAACATCACAGCACAGTTGAAAAACATATGGCAAATACAAATCAAAACTGGATGGTGTTCAGAGATAGATGGGAGGGGTTGAGTGGAGCTGAAGGATGGGACTAAAACAAACAAAAGACAACTATTGTAAAATATATTGTGTCGTAAAATGTATATAGTATGTATAAGCTGGAAGTAGAAGCCTAAGTGTTGTTGTCCATTAGTTTACTCCAATTAGGGGAGGGATGGTAGGGTTAGGGGAAAATAATAAAGGAACATATATTTTTATATGTATATTTTATTTTATTTATTTATTTTTACCCCTTTTTGTGATATCGGACTCGGGAGAGGCGAAGGTCGAGAGCTATGCGTCCTCCGAAACACGACCCTGCCAAGCCGCACTGCTTCTTGACACACTGCTCGCTTAACCCGGAAGCCAGCCGCACCAATATGTCGGAGGAAACACCGTACAGCTGGCGACCGTAGTCAGCGTGCATGCACCCGGCCCGCCACAAGGAGTCGCTAGAGCGCGATGGGACAAGGCCATCCCGGCCGGCCAAACCGTCCCCTAAACCAGACGACGCTGGGCCAATTGTGCGCCGCCTCATGGGTCTCCCGGTCGTGGCCGGCTGCGACACAGCCTAGGATCGAAACAGGGTCTGTAGTGACGCTTCTAGCACTGCGATGCAGTGCCTTAGACCGCTGCGCCACTCAGAAGGCCACATGTAACAGAAATATTGCCCATCTCTGTCAACATGCACTGAGTGTACAAAACATTAGGAACACAATTATTTGCAGCTCTCAATCTTTTCAGTGGAATGTTGAAAGAGTCATACAGTAGTTGAGCATCACATGCGTATCTATACAACATATCATTAGACACATGTAACCTGCCACCGTCTTTAACTAAAAAGAACATCAAGAAACTCCCATGAAAAAGCTGAAAGATCCTGTTAGAAATTATTTTTCTAAAGTGAACTTGCTTATGGCAATCCTCAGATGAGATCCTGATATTATGCCCCAGATGTGTCAAGCCAAGGCAAGAGCTGTGTTATGTATTTTCTCAAAAGTAGGTAGTACTTTCTTACTCTTAGTATTGTCAATTTGAGCTATGCTCAATGTGAGTGCCTACGTTTGGTTTTCACCTCATATATGTGGGCCTCTGACTTAGCAGGACTATCCAACATCCTTCCCTTTATCTTGCCGTCCACCAGACTCTCCTTGACAAGATTCTCCCATTGGTCCAGAGATTCGCCCATGTAACTGACTGTTGAACTCATAGTGCCGTGCCCAGAGGATTCCGCAGATCTCCCAGCATTCTTCACTCTCCATTCAGACACCTTGGCATGTGCTCCATAATTTATGTAGGAACTCCCAACTTCAGAGGGAGTCTCACAGCTCACTGAAACACAGGATAACAAACACTGTTAGAAGATCCCTTTGACTGGAATACCCAACAAGAAATGTTACGAATTCAAATAAGCATTTCTAAGTTAATAGAAACTAACAGATTTGGAAAATCTAATGTCAAACGTACTGCTGGGGATGACGCCATCATCAATACTTTTCTTCCTTCGTACAAATGGCAATTTAGATTCCTCTGGTTCTACCACCACTGCCTTCAACATCCGCTCTATGAGTTCCTCTTCTCTCTTGTTCCATTCCTCTTCAGTCATCATGCCCTTTCCTGCTAACCAGTGAAGCATTGGCTTCTGCCTACTCTTCTGTTCAATGGCGAAATGTTGCCCTTTGTTACGTACAACCATCTCCTTTACCTTCCTCAACAGTGTTGTGACCTGAGAGCCATCATCCCAGTCATGGCAGTTAATTACATGATACCTGTTCCCACATTTTTCAATGAGTTGTTCGAGGGCCTCTCCTTCTCTCTCAATGTATTCCTCAATGGCTCGGTCTCCTAGCCAATCTCCCCAGGTGAACAGCACCATTGTGTGTCTCCAGACTTTCTCAGTTAATAGCCCTGGGTGCTCCTCTACTGCTTTGAGGTCTCCCTCTGAAAATGGTGCAGAAATGGGAATGACCAGAAGAAAAGCATGGGGGCCAGGTTGACAGAGAGACACACTGCGCACCACTTCATCTTGAACCCAATCTCGTGCATCCTGTGGGGTTCTCTTCCACCAGCCTGGTGTATCTACAACTTTGAGCTTCATCCCAGCAACTCTCTTTTGTTGTATTACACACAGTGTAGTTCTGTTTTGAATTCTGAATTCCTAAATATATCAAAAACAAAAAATGTATAATCAGAATAATTAAGTAGAAAATAACTTTACCTGTGTTTAGGAGTTACCAACAGGGGAATGTCATAAACAAACATCGCTTTATATTTTTTATTTCAACAAACTCCCTAGCATTAAAGCAACAATTCCTGGGCTTTAATTTCCACTTTAATGATAGACACTTTAAATAATATTTACAGTTAAAGGACAGGAGGATCCAAAATGTCAAAGTATGTTGCACTCATACAGTAGCTGAAGGAATATAGAGCAGGGTGAATTGAAGTTTCCATACCTTGGTCAAAGCTGTCGGAAACAACTCTCCAACCAGTATTGTGTTTCCTGCCACACTCTTCCCAGCCGCTCTTCTCCCAACAAGTACAATTCTCAACTCATCCTCAGAGATTATTTGTTCCTCCCCTTAAAAATTAAATCTATTATTTTTGCTTTCTCTTGTTACAAAAAACAAAAAATTTCTTCTATTTCCTAAACTCAAGGGTGTTTACAAAGACTAAATAATTCCAAACTAAATCAATAACAAATGGCTATTTTTTTTACCTAGGAGATATGCACAAATGTTTGTCCACAGAGGAAACATAAACAATGATTGTAGAAGGGGTGAAAGTAGGCATATTCTGTTAGTTTTATGCTTAGAATTCAAATAGACTCACCTCTAAACAGTTCTCTGAGTGTCGTCATTTGTCTCTGCACCTTCATCATGATCTTTTGAGCTCTTTCTTCTCCAGCCCTCTTTTTCTGTTCCAAGTCTGCTGAAACATCTCTGTCAATTTCATAAGGACAACCTCTGTTTTCTACCACCATCTCCTCTACTTTCTCCAGCAGCTCGGTTACCTGTGTTCCATCACTTCGATTCTTGTTGTCAAAAACATGGTATCTGTTACCACATTTCTCAATGAGCCACTGAAGACCCTTCCCTTCACTCGCAATGCGCTGCTCAACAGTTGTGTCTCCCAGCCAGTCTCCTCGTGTGAAGAGCACAATCGTGTGCTTCCAGACTGCATCTGTGAGGAGACCCATGTGGTCCTCAACAGCTCTCTTATATGATTTGTTGAATGCTGTTGCAAAGGGAATCACCAGAAGGACCGCATGAGGTCCTGGAGGACATTGAGACACACTGCGCACTATCTCAAACCTATCCATCTTGGAGGTGTTCTGTAGAGAATTATTGTAGTACCAGCCTGGTGTATCAACCACCATAAGCTGCCTCCCTGCTACTTCACCATGTCTTGTCACACAGTGCACTGTTCTTCTTGTATTACCAGCAACGTCAAACACACCTTCCCCCAGAATGGTGTTTCCTGCTGAGCTCCTGGCAGCCCATTGTGCCCCAACAATCACAAGCCTGAGGTATGTTGGGCTAGTTGCCTCTCCTTTCAAATGTAAAATAAATCAAAAAGCTACAGTGAGGATGCAGATCAAATGCTCTGAGGTAAGAGAGGGGGTGGGTACTCATGTCTTATGCAAACTACAGTGAGGGAAAAAAGTATTTGATCCCCTGCTGATTTTGTAAGTTTGCCCACTGACAAAGAAATGATCAGTCTATAATTTTAATGGTAGGTTTATTTGAACAGTGAGAGACAGAATAACAACAACAAAATCCAGAAAAACGCATGTCAAAAATTTTATAAATTGATTTGCATTTTAATGAGGGAAATAAGTATTTGACCCCCTCTCAATCAGAAAGATTTCTGGCTCCTAGGTGTCTTTTATACAGGTAATGAGCTGAGACTAGGAGCACACTCTTAAAGGGAGTGTTCCTAATCTCAGTTTGTTACCTGTATAAAAGACACCTGTCCACAGAAGCAATCAATCAATCAGATTCCAAACTCTCCACCATGGCCAAGACCAAAGAGCTCTCCAAGGATGTCAGGGACAAGATTATAGACCTACACAAGGCTGGAATGGGCTACAAGACCATCGCCAAACAGCTTGGTGAGAAGGTGACAACAGTTGGTGCGATTATTCGCAAATGGAAGAAACACAAAAGAACTGTCAATCTCCCTCGGCCTGGGGCTCCATGCAAGATCTCACCTCGTGGAGTTGCAATGATCATGAGAACGGTGAGGAATCAGCACAGAACTACACAGGAGGATCTTGTCAATGATCTCAAGGCAGCTGGGACCATAGTCACCAAGAAAACAATTGGTAACACACTACGCCGTGAAGGACTGAAATCCTGCAGTGCCCGCAAGGTCCCCCTGCTCAAGAAAGCACATATACAGGCCCGTCTGAAGTTTGCCAATGACCATCTGAATGATTCAGAGGAGAACTGGGTGAAAGTGTTGTGTTCAGATGAGACCAAAATCGAGCTCTTTGGCATCAACTCAACTCGCCGTGTTTGGAAGAGGAGCAATGCTGCCTATGACCCCAAGAACACCATCCCCACCGTCAAACATGGAGGTGAAAACATTATGCTTTGCGGGTGTTTTTCTGCTAAGGGGACAGGACAACTTCACCGCATCAAAGGGACGATGGACGGGGCCATGTACCGTGGGTGAGAACCTTGTTCCCTCAGCCAGGGCATTGAAAATGGGTCGTGGATGGGTATTCCAGCATGACAATGACCCAAAACATACGGCCAAGGCAACAAAGGGGTGGCTCAAGAAGAAGCACATTAAGGTCCTGGAGTGGCCTAGCCAGTCTCCAGACCTTAATCCCATAGAAAATCTGTGGAGGGAGCTGAAGATTCGAGTTGCCAAACGTCAGCCTCGAAACCTTAATGACTTGGAGAAGATCTGCAAAGAGGAGTGGGACAAAATCCCTCCTGAGATGTGTGCAAACCTGGTGGCCAAGTACAAGAAACGTCTGACCTCTGTGATTGCCAACAAGGGTTTTGCCACCAAGTACTGAGTCATGTTTTGCAGAGGGGTCAAATACTTATTTCCCTCATTAAAATGAAAAAAAAATTCATAACATTTTTACATGTGTTTTTCTGGATTTTATTGTTGTTTTTCTGTCTCTCACTGTTCAAATAAACCTACCATTAAAATTATAGACTGATAATTTCTTTGTCAGTGGGCAAACGTACAAAATCAGCAGGGGATCAAATACTTTTTTCCCTCACTGTATATGTAAATTATAATGCTATTTCAGGTTTCATTCAATCTTGTCCTTAGTATTTCACACAGATTTAAGCTCACCTTCGATCAGCGCTCTGAGTCTGGTCCTTTGTTTCTGTACCTTAGCCATCATCTGTTTGGCTACTTCATTCACTGCTAATCTCTTCTCTTCCAGCTCTTCTGAAAGAGCTGGGTCTGTCTCATAATGATTGCCATCGTTTCCTGCCACCATGTCTTCTATCTTCTCCAGCAGCTCTGTGACCTGGGTGCTATCACCCCCGCTATTGACATTCAGAACATGATACCTGTTCCCACACTTCTTAATAAGCCAATGAAGATCCGGCCAATCTCTTATGTGTTTCTGTAAACTTCTGTGATTGGGGGGAATGATTGTACTAAACAGCACAATAGTGTGTCTCCAGACTCTTTCATTGAATAGCTCCAGGTGTTCCTGTAACGATCTTTTGTCAATGTTTTGAAAAGCAGTGTCCACGGGAATGACCAAGAGAAAGGCTTGGGGTCCAGGATGACATAGATATACACTTCTCATGATTTCCAATTGATCCAATTTGGGAGTGTTATCTACAGGATAACCCCACCACCAGCCTGGGGTGTCAATCACAGTTATCTGTCTCCCATACACATACCGTTGTCCACTCACACATTGGGCAGTTCTTCTTCCCGTCTCAAAAATGTCTCTGCCCAGGATGGTGTTTCCTATCGAACTCTTCCCGCTGGCTTCTATACCCCACATCCCTCTTCCCCCAATTAGCACAATATTCATCTCTGACCGATGGTGGGTCTCCCCTGTTAAAGAAAGAGCTTAGTGTATTCCTGAGGCACTCCTCAAATGGAAAATATATATATATTTTTTTTTTTACATGCACTGTATAACCTCAACATTACCACAGAACTTACCGAGGGAGGGAGGAGCCCTACTTGCCATTTTGTGTTCTCCACACTTCTTCCTCCTTAGCTGTCACTGGCAGTAAGGCTTATTAACTATAACAAAATAAAACTGACAGATATCATGTTATGACAAATTTGACTAAATAAAGGACATAGACCTTTAAAAGGTCACAGCGACATCAAATTGCTCTCAATTAGTTATTTTTCAGGATGTTTTTAGACAGGCCTCAAGTCGTCTACTGTATTTGTAGTGACATCAGTGAAACCACATTCCAAATTCTATCTCTTCAAAAATAAGAACAAAAGCAGTTAGATTACATTCCAGAGATCAGCTCCTGAGAAGCCAAGAGAGCAACAGCAGTGATATATTATATTAGACAGATTTAATGTGTGAATCAAAGGAAAAATCAGTTTTAGTTGCAATAGTAATATACAGTGGCAAGAAAAAGTATGTGAACCCTTTGGAATTACCTGGACTTCTGCATAAATTGGTCACAACAATAGACAAACACAGTCTGCTTAAACTAACACAGTGTAAACATTCACAGTGCAGGGTGGGAAAAGTATGTGAACCCTTGGATTTAAAAACTGGTTGACCCTCCTTTGGCACAATAACCTCAACCAAACGTTTTCTGTAGTTGCGGATCAGACCTGCAAAACGGTGAGGAGGAATTTTGGACCATTCCTCTTTACAAAACTGTTTCAGTTCAGCAATATTCTTGGGATGTCTGGTGTGAACCGCTCTCAAGGTCATGCCACAGCATCTCAATCGGGTTGAGGTCACTCCAGAAGGCGTATTTTCTTCTGTTGAAGCCATTCTGTTGTTGATTTACTTCTGTGTTTTGGGTCGTTGTCCTGTTGCATCACCTAACTTCTGTTTAGCTTCAATTGGCGGACAGATAGCCTTACATTCTCCTGCAAAATGTCTTGATAAACTTGGGAATTTATTTTTCTGTCGATGACAGCAAGCTGTCCAGGCCCTGAGGCACCAATGCAGCCCCAAACCATGATGCTCCCTCCACCATACTTTACAGTTTTGATGAGGTTTTGATGTTGGTGTGCTGTGCCTTTTTTTCTCCACACAGTGTTGTGTGTTCCTTCCAAACAACTCAACTTTAGTTTAATCTTTCCACAGAATATTTTGCCAGTAGCGCTGTGGAACATCCAGGTGCTGTTTTGCGAACTTCAGACGTGCAGCAATGTTTTTTTTGGACAGCAGTGGCTTCTTCCATGGTGTCTTCCCATGAACACTATTCTTGTTTAGTGTTTTATGTATCGTAGACTCGTCAACAGAGATGTTAGCATGTTCCAGAGATTTCTGTAAGTCTTTAGCTGACACTCTAGGATTCTTCTTAACCTCACTGAGCATTATGCGCTGTGCTCTTGCAGTCATCTTTGCAGGACGGCCACTCCTAGGGAGAGTAGCAACAGTGCGGAACTTTCTCCATTTATAGACAATTTGTCTTACCGTGGACTGATGAACATCAAGGCTTTTAGAGATACTTTTATAACCCTTTCCAGCTTTATGCAAGTCAACAATTCTTAATCTTAGGTCTTCTGAGATCTCTTTCGTTCGAGGCATGGTTCACATCAGGCAATGCTTCTTGTGAATAGCAAACTCAAATTTTGTGTGTTTTTTATAGAGCAGGGCAGCTCTAACCAACATCTCCAATCTCGTCTCATTGATTGGACTCCAGGTTAGCTGACTCCTGACTCCAATTAGCTTTTGGAGAAGTCATTAGCCTAGGGGTTCACATAATTTTCCCAACCTACACTGTGAATGTTTAAATGATGTATTCAATATAGACAAGAAAAATACCATAATTTGTGTGTAATTAGTTTAAGCACACTGTGTTTGTCTATTGTTGTGACTTAGATGAAGATCAGATCAAATTTTATTACCAATTTATGTAGAAATCCAGGTAATTCCAAAGGGTTCACATACTTTTTATTGCCACTGTATCTAGTGAACTGTATTGGGTCTTAGATAACACACATTTGATAGAATATAAATATAAAGTGCAGTAGGCAGCTTTTTGGGTGACCAACCAAATTCATGTAGAAATGTGAGTTATAGATCTGTCATTCTCATTCAAAGCAAGTCTGAGAAGCGGTAGACCCGTTCTATGTGCACTATTTTTATGCTTCCTGTGCTTAAATGCCCAGTGCAGTCCAAAACGTGATTTTCCTGTGTTTAGATATAGTTCCATACCATGAGGTTGAAATAATACTGGGAAATTGTGAAAATGATAATGTAATTTTAGTGTAAGAGCTGTTTGAAAAGATTTCTGCCCGTTTTGGTGGGCTGGAGTTTTGGCCTGCCTGGTTACATCATCAAGCGGTAAATTAGTTAATAGACCAATAAGTAAGAGATAACCTCTCTGCCAATAACAGCTAGTTTTCCGTTTTCCCTGAAGGAAACTGACTACTGGTGTCCTAGCTAGTTAGTTACCATTGTCGCCCCCGCCTCTTCTTTTCTTCTATGGGATTTATCGCAGTTGGCATCCAACGTTATGGTGCATTATCGCCACCTACTGCACTGGAGCGCCCCCGCCTCCCACCTGTGTACCGGAGACTTAGCTTAAAAATTGACCAATAGAAGTACACTACCGGTCAAAAGTTTTAGAACACCTACTCATTCAAGGGTTTTTCTTTATTTTTACTATTTTCTACATTGTCGAATAATAGTGAAGACATCAAAACTATGAAAAAACACATATGGAATCATGTAGTAACCAAAAAAGTGTTAAACAAGTCAGCTTTGCACACTCTTGGCATTCTCTCAACCAGCTTCATGAGGTAGTCACCTGGAATGCATTTCAATTAACAGGTATTAATTGTGCCTTCTTAAAAGTTAATTTGTGGAATTTCTTTCCTTCTTAATGCGTTTGAGCCGATCAATTGTGTTATGACAAGGTCGGGGTGGTATACAGAAGATATGGATTTGGTCTTTTACCAAATAGGGCTATTATGGCAAGAACAGCTCAAATAAGCAAAGAGAAACGACAGTCCATCATTACTTTAAGACATGAAGGTCAGTCAATACGAACATTTCAAGAACTTTGAACGTTTCTTCAAGTGCAGTCGCAGAAACCATCAAGCGCTATGATGAAACTGGCTCTCATGAGAACCGCCACAGGAATGGAAGACCCAGAGTTACCTCTGCTGCAGAGAATAAGTTCATTAGAGTTACCAGCCACAGAAATTGCAGCCCAAATAAATGCTTCACAGAGTTCAAGTAACAGACACATCTCAACATCAACTGTTCAGAGGAGACTGTGTGAATCAGGCCTTCATGGTCGAATTGCTGCAAAGAAACCACTCCTAAAGGCCACCAATAAGAAGAAGAGACTTGCTTGGGCCAAGAAACACGAGCAATGGACATTAGACTGGTGGAAATTTGTCCTTTGGTTTGGAGTCCAAATTGGAGATTCTTGGCTCCAAACCCTGTGTCTTTGTGAGACGCGGTGTGGGTGAACCGATGATCTCCGCATGTGTATTTCCCACCGTAAAGGTGTTATGGTGTGGGGGTGCTTTGCTGGTGACACTGTCTGTGATTTATTTAGAATTCAAGGCACACTTAACCAGCATGGCTACCACAGCATTCTGCAGCGATACGCCATCCCATCTGGTTTGGGCTTAGTGGGACTATCATTTGTTTTTCAACAGGACAATGACCCAACACAGCTCCAGGCTGTGTAAGGAATATTTTACCAAGAAGGAGAGTGATGGAGTGCTGCATCAGATGACCTGGCCTCCACAATCACCCGACCAAATTGAGATAGTTTGGGATGAGTCAGACCGCAGAGTGAAGGAAAAGCAGCCAACAAGTGCTCAGCATATGTGGGAACTCCTTCAAGACTGTTTGAAAAGCATTCCAGGTGAAGCTGGTTGAGAGAATGCCTAGAGTGTGCAAAGCTGTGATCAAGGCAAAGGGTGGCTATTTGAAGAATCTCAAATATAAAATATATTTTGATTTGTTTAACACTTTTTTGGTTACTACATGATTCCATATGTGTTATTTCATAGTTTTGATGTCTTCACTATTATTCTACAATGTAGAAAATAGTAAAAAATTAAGAAAAACCCTTGAATGAGTAGGTGTTCTAAAACTTTTGACCGGTAGTGTTTAAAAAGGGGTTCCTGCACCTTTACAAAAAAAGATAGTAATTTTGAAACTGCAGTAACCACAGTCGACAGTGGTATTTTGGATGAAGCATTTGCAGTGTACTGCAGTTATACTGCACTCTGACTGCAATCTTTTTTCGTAAGGGCAGATGCAGGAATGCCCACATGCAGGAACGGTCCGAATTGCGGGCCGCAATTATACCCTTCAGCTTTTTGGGCGACCCGACCAAATTCACGTACAAATGTGAGTGCAAGTCTGAGAAGCCGTAGATCTGTTCTATGTGCGCTGTTTCTTTGCTTCCCGTTCTTAAGTTTCATTTTTGCTCTTTTTACTTTCGGTTTTGTACACCAGCTTCAAAGAGCTGAAAATATGACATAGAAAATATATTTCTCACCGCTTTAAATGGTACAATGATTATTGCTTGTTTGATCTCAAACTGAAATTAGGCGCACCCTTCGAATTTTGACAACCTGGAAATGTACGCCTATTATTGTAAAGTAGTATTAGTAAGTTGTTTATCAAGTTTAAATGTGTCAGTGAGTTTGTCATCACAGTATGGTAATAAACAGTATATAAGACAAGAAAAACACTTTCAGTGGCGTTAAATCGCAATGTCAATGTCCTTGTTATGCTAAAAGATTTTAGCAACTTACCATGTTATGTTGAATGAGGTGAATTGGTACAATATCTTGTCGCAAAGTCAGACAAAAAGAGTACCAAGTGAAAGTGAAATCTGAATGTACACACACTTACATTTCGAAGTATAATTCCAACAAACAGAATATGCAGTGTAAACCTGCCTCAACCTGTTTAGGTGCCAATTATTTTATTTTTTTACTACACCCAATGCGGAAAATGTAGACATAATCAGCATTGGCAATTTGTGCAATACACACCTGGGTTCAAATACTATTTGAAATCATTTCAAACCCTCATCTGTGCTTGATTGAGCTTGTCTGTTGCAATTGAACCAATTGAAAAGTGCAAACCCCACGCCACTGGCACTTCAGGCTGGCTAAAGAAAACATTCAATTTCTTTGAAAGATTTCAAATAGTATATAAACTCGGGTCTGGTGTCATACTGCCACCATCAGGTTGTTATACCATCATGTCACCATCTGGTAGATCAAGCTGCAGGTTGGAAAATGGTAGAAAAACCATCATGGTTGAAGTTATGGGTTCTTCAGGCAAATGTTCTCCTTATGACAAAAGGGACTTTTGGAACAAAATTGTCACTGTAGAACAAATGGAGCTGGTCTTCACTAAATATCATTTCGTAGAATGTGTTGGAGAACTTTATTTGGCTACTCATACCAAAATGTCGTATTCAATTTAAGAGCGAAGATCAATTTTAAAAAATGTTATCTTGGGGGTGACTTTTTATTTCTTGAAATGTAACATTACTTGCATATTATTTTACAGTTTACATAAAAGACAAATAAAGCCTATTGGGTAAAAATAAACCCTCCATATTTAGGTATACAGGTTACTCTGAGCCTCGTTGATTTTGGCAAACCTTTGGGAGGACGTCTGCACTCGGACAAGGCTCCAACTGGTGGTTAAAGGTGCGGGGAGGGAGGGAGAGCGAGAGATCAGCAAAAGGAAGATACACACCGCTCTTAAGAAAACAAATGTGTTCATTGTATCACTCCTATAGTGAGGGAAAAAAGTATTTGATCCCCTGCTGATTTTGTACGTTTGCCCACTGACAAAGAAATTATCAGTCTATAATTTTAATGGTAGGTTTATTTGAACAGTGAGAGACGGAATAACAACAAAAAAATCCAGAAAAACACATGTCAAAAATGTTATGAATTGATTTGCATTTTAATGAGGGAAATAAGTATTTGACCCTCTGCAAAACATGACTTAGTACTTGGTGGCAAAACCCTTGTTGGCAATCACAGAGGTCAGACGTTTCTTGTAGTTGGCCACCAGGTTTGCACACATCTCAGGAGGGATTTTGTCCCACTCCTCTTTGCAGATCTTCTCCAAGTCATTAAGGTTTCGAGGCTGATGTTTGGCAACTCGAACCTTCAGCTCCCTCTACAGATTTTCTATGGGATTAAGGTCTGGAGACTGGCTAGGCCACTCCAGGACCTTAATGTGCTTCTTCTTGAGCCACTCCTTTGTTGCCTTGGCCGTGTGTTTTGGGTCATTGTCATGCTGGAATACCCATCCACGACCCATTTTCAATGCCCTGGCTGAGGGAAGGAGGTTCTCACCCAAGATTTGACGGTACATTGCCCCGTCCATCGTCCCTTTGATGCAGTGAAGTTGTCCTGTCCCCTTAGCAGAAAAACACCCCCAAAGCATAATGTTTCCACCTCCATGTTTGACGGTGGGGATGGTGTTCTTGGGGTCATAGGCAGCATTCCTCCTCCTCCAAACACGGTGAGTTGAGTTGATGCCAAAGAGCTCCATTTTGGTCTCATCTGACCACAACACTTTCACCCAGTTCTCCTCTGAATCATTCAGATGTTCATTGGCAAACTTCAGACGGGCATGTATATGTGCTTTCTTGAGCAGGGGGACCTTGCGGGCGCTGCAGGATTTCAGTCCTTCACGGCGTAGTGTGTTACCAATTGTTTTCTTGGTGACTATGGTCCCAGCTGCCTTGAGATCATTGACAAGATCCTCCCATGTAGTTCTGGGCTGATTCCTCACCGTTCTCATGATCATTGCAACTCCACGAGGTGAGATCTTGCATGGAGCCCCAGGCCGAGGGAGATTGACAGTTCTTTTGTGTTTCTTCCATTTGCGAATAATCACACCAACTGTTGTCACCTTCTCACCAAGCTGCTTGGCGATGGTCTTGTAGCAAATTCCAGCCTTGTGTAGGTCTACAATCTTGTCCCTGACATCCTTGGAGAGCTCTTTGGTCTTGGCCATGGTGGAGAGTTTGGAATCTGATTGATTGATTGCTTCTGTGGACAGGTGTCTTTTATACAGGTAACAAGCTGAGATTAGGAGCACTCCCTTTAAGAGTGTGCTCCTAATCTCAGCTCGTTACCTGTATAAAAGACACCTGGGAGCCAGAAATCTTTCTGATTGAGAGGGGGTCAAATACTTATTTCCCTCATTAAAATGCAAATCAATTTATAACATTTTTGACATGCGTTTTTCTGGATTTTTTTGTTGTTATTCTGTCTCTCACTGTTACATTTTACATTTTAGTAGACGCTCTTATCCAGAGCGACTTACAGTTAGTGAGTGCATACATTTTCATACTTTTTTCATACTGGCCGCCCGTGGGGAACGAACCCACAACCCTGGCGTTGCAAACGCCATGCTCTACCAACTGAGCTACAGAGGGCCTAACTGTTCAAATAAACCTACCATTAAAATGATAGACTAATCATTTCTTTGTCAGTGGGCAAAGTTACAAAATCAGCAGGGGATCAAATACTTTTTTCCCTCACTGTATGATACTGGGATATTGGATACTGTACAGTCCCACAGGAGGTTGGTGGCACCTTAATTGGGGAGGACGGCTCGTGGTAATGCCTGGAGCAGAATTAGTGGAATGGTACCAAATACATCAAACACATGGTTTCTATGTGTTTGATGCTATTCCATTCACTCTGTTCCAGGAATTATGAGCCATCCTCCCCTCAGCAGCCTCCTGTGTACAGTACTCACTTTAACCAACTTGCTTAGACTTGTCAGAGCAGGTTTGCAGGTTTCCATGGTGACTGAGTCCGGGCTGATGACATCAGTGTAACATTGGTACAGAACAGCTGGAATCTGATGGACTTGGCAGTGGCTCAGTACTGAGGAAAGAATAGAGATTAATTTTACAATTTGGGTCATTCTGTGTGAAAATAATCCAAGAATGATCATGACGTTTTTCCTGAACCCATGGAGAGCAGAGACAGTATGGCGGTACCTGCAGCTGGCAGTCCAGTGAGGATGTTGGGCTGCTCTACTGCAGGGCAGAGGGCCTGGCTTTTGTAGGCACTGCTCTTGAAGGAGCGTAGGAAGGGGATGGTGCTACCGTAGAGGTAGTCTGGCGTTTTGTACTCAGCCACAGGGCTGTCTGAAAGCACCATCACATTGAGCCCTCTATTCTGGAGTCAGCCAAACACCTAGTACAGAGGGAAGGAGGGAGAAAAGCAGACAGTGAGAGACCTTTAGCCATTGCTGACAAATGGTTTTTGGACACCATAGCTCCCCAATTATAACCTTACATCTGCGTAATGTATTCATATCAAGCAGTGGGCATCAACCTCTACAAGACGACAATACAATCACAAGAGCATTACCTTTTCTGTCCATTGAAACAGCTGGTCCTCAGCAATGTAACAAGTGCTTTGGCATATTAGAACCTACAAAAAGAAAACAATAATATCCTTTAAAGAATCTGCTGTAATTGCTGAGGTGCATATCTAAGTGTTTCACTCTGACTTCAGAAGCAATTAAAATATTGTTGAAACACACCTTAAAGTTCCATATACAGTGCATTCGGAAAGTATTCAGACCCCTTGACCTTTTCCACATTTTGTTATGTTACAGCCTTATTCTAAAATTTAATAAATTGTTTTTTTCCCTCATCAATCTACACACAATACCCCATAATGACAAAGCAAAAACTGGTTTTTATAAATTTATGTAATTTATTTATTTATTATTTTAACGGAAATATCACATTTACATACGTTTTCAGACCCTTTACTCAGTACTTTGTTGAAGCACCTTTGGCAGCGATTACAACCTCGAATGTTCTTGGGTATGACGCTACAAGCTTAGCACACCTGTATTTGGGGAATTTCTCCTATTCTTCTCTGCAGGTCCTCTCAAGCTCTGTCAGGTTGGATGGGGAGCGTTGCTGCACAGCTATTTTCAGGTCTCTCCAGAGATGTTCGATCGGGTTCAAGTCCGAGCTCTGGCTGGGCCACTCAAGGACATTAAGAGACTTAACGCAGGAGTGGCTTCAGGACGTCTTGGCTGTGTGCTTAGGGTCGTTGTCCTGTTGGAAGGGGAACCTTCTCCCCAGTCTGAAAAACATCCCCACAGAATGATGCTACCACCATGCTTGACCGTAGGGATGGTGCCAGGTTTCCTCCAGACGTGACGCTTGGCATTTAAGCCAAAGAGTTCAATCTTGGTTTCATCAGACCAGAGAATCTTGTTTCTCATGGTCTGAGAGTCCTTTAGGTGCCTTTTGGCAAACTCCAAGCAGGCTGTCATGTGCCTTTTACTGAGGAGTGGCTTCTGTCTGGCCACTCTACCATAAAGGCCTGATTGGGGGAGTGCTGCAGATATGGTTTTCCTTCTGGAAGGTTCTCCCATCTCCACAGAGGAACTCTGGAGCTCTGTCAGTGACCATTCGGTTTTTGGTCACCTCCCTGACCAAGGCCCTTCTCCCCGATTGCTCAGTTTGGCCGGGCGGCCAGCTCTAGGAAGAGTCTTGGTGCTTCCAAACTTCTTCCATTTAAGAATGATGGAGGCCACTGTGTTCTTGGGGACCTTCAACGCTGCAGATATATTTTGGTACCCTTCCCCCTGTGCCTCGACCCAATCCTGTCTCTGAGCTCTACGGCAATTCCTTCGACCTCATGGCTTGGTTTTTGCTCTGACATGCACTGTCAACTGTGGGACCTTATATAGACAGGTGTGTGCCTATCCAAATAATGTCCAATCAATTGAATTTACCACAGGAGGACTCCAATCAAGTTGTAGAAACATCTCAAGGATGATCAATTGAAACAGGATGCACCTGAGCTCAATTTCGAGCGACATAGCAAAGAGTCTGAATACTTACAGTACCAGTCAAAAGTTTGGACACACCTACTCATTCAAGGGTTTTTCTTTATTTTTACTATTTTCTACATTGTAGAATAATAGTGAAGACATCAAAACTATGAAATAACACATATGTAATCATGTAGTTACCAAAAAATTGTTAAACAAGTCAGCTTTGCACACTCTTGGCATTCTCTCAACCAGCTTCAAAATAGCCACCCTTTAACTTGATGACAGCTTTGCACACTTGGCATTCTCTCAACCAGCTTCACCTGGAATGCTTTTCCAACAGTCTTGAAGGAGTTCCCACATTTGCTGAGCACTTGTTGGCTGCTTTTCCTTCACTCTGTGGTCCGACTCATCCCAAACCATCTCAATTGGGTTGAGCCAGGGGATTGTGGAGGCCAGGTCATCTGATGCAGCACTCCATCACTCTCCTTCTTGGTAAAATAGCCCTTACACAGCCTGGAGGTGTGTTGGGTCATTGTCCTGTTGAAAAACAAATGATAGTCCCACTAAGCCCAAACAAGATGGGATGGCGTATCACCGCAGAATGCTGTGAAAGCCATGCTGGTTAAGTGTGCCTTGAATTCTAAATAAATCACAGTGTCACCAGCAAAGCACCCCCACACCATAACACCTCCTCCTCCATGCTTTACGGTGGGAAATACACATGCGGAGATCATCTGTTCACCCACACCGCGTCTCACAAAGCCACGGCGGTTGGAACCAAAAATCTCAAATTTGGACTCCAGACCAAAGGACACATTTCCACCGGTCTAATGTCCATTGCTCGTGTTTCTTGGCCCAAGCAAGTCTCTTCTTATTGGTGTCCTTCAGTAGTGGTTTCTTTGCAGCAATTCGACCAAATCCTGTGTGAATTTAAGTATGCTCCCTCTAATTCTCTCTCTCTCCCTCCCCTCCCAGGAGGACCTGAGCCCTAGGACCATGCCTCAGGACTACCTGGCCTGATGACTCCTTGCTGTCCCCAGTCCACCTGGTCGTGCTGCTGCTCCAGTTTCCACTCTTCTGCCTGCGGCTATGGAACCCTGACCTGTTCACCGGACGTGCTACCTTGTCACAGACCTGCTGTTTTCAACTCTCTCTCTCTACCGCACCTGCTATTTCAACCTCTAAATGCCTGGCTATGAAAAGCCAAGTGACATTTACTCCTGATGTACTGACCCTGCTGGTCATCTATGAACATTTGAACATCTTGGAGAAAAATCTGGCCTTAATGGCCATGTACTGTTATAATCGCCACCCGGCACAGTATGAAGGGGACTGGCCACCCCTCAGAGCCTGGTTCCTCTCTAGGTTTCTTCCTAGGTTTCTGCCTTTCTAGGGAGTTTTTCCTAGCCACGTGCTTCTACATCTGCATTGCTTGCTGTTTGGGGTTTTAGGCTGGGTTTCTGTATAGCACTTTGTGACATCTGGTGATGTAAAAAGGGGTTTATAAATACATTTGATTGATTGATTGATTGATGAAGGCCTGATTCACGCAGTCTCCTCTGAACAGTTGATGTTGAGATGTGTCTGTTACTTGAACTCTGTGAAGCATTAATTTGGGCTGCAATTTGAGAGGCTGGTAACTCTAATGAACTTATCCTCTGCAGCAGAGGTAACTCTGGGTCTTCCATTCCTGTGGCTGTCCTCATGAGAGCCAGTTTCATCATAGCGCTTGATGGTTTTTGCGACTGCACTTGAAGAAACTTTCAAAGTTCTTGAAAATCTCCGTACTGACTGACCTTCATGTCTTAAAGTAATGATGGACTGTTGTTTCTCTTTGCTTATTTGAGCTGTTCTTGCCATAATATGGGCTTGGTCTTTTACCAAATAGGGCTATCTTCTGTATACCCCCCCTACCTTGTCACAACACAAATGATTGGCTCAAACGCATTAAGAAGGAAATAAATTCCACAAATTAACTTTTAAGAAGGCACACCTGTTAATTGAAATGCATTCCAGGTGACTACTTCATGAAGCTGGTTGAGAGAATGCCAAGAGTGTGCAAAGCTGACTTGTTTAACACTTTTTTGGTTACTACATGATTCCATATGTGTTATTTCATAGTTTTGATGTCTTCACTATTATTCTACAATGTAAAAGATAGTACAAATAAATAAAAACCCTTGAAAGAGTAGGTGTGTCCAAACTTTTGACTGGTAGTGTATGTAAATAAGGTATTTATTTTTAATTCTAAAAACCTGTTTTTGCTTTGTCATTTTGGGGTATTGTGATGAGGAAAATGTTTTATGTAATCCATTTTAGAGTAAGGCTGTAACGTCACAAAATGTGGGAAAAGTCAAGGGGTCTGAATACCTTCCCGAATGCACTGTACACCAGATAGGTGCATGAAATGTGTTGTTAGTGTGCATTCTGAGATTGGAAGGTTGAGGGTTTGATCCCTGATCGAGTCATAGCAAATATCGGGCTGACTTGGGGTTAAGGCCCTGCGATTGAATAGCGTTCTGAGACAGACTAGCGTCCAAGAATAGGTTCCTGCCCCGTTCTGGGTTGGACAAGGCTTACTTACATTAAGTGTATCCTATCAGACTGGTCTCATAGACTAGACGTAACACAGTAAACATATATCCGGGACACTCAAATTAGTTTGATATGTATTGTTTGGTATGGTTACTTAAGACAGAAGATGACTTAAGGCAAAAATGAAAGTAGGGTGTTTGGTCGGGGTGGATGGGTGGGCGTATATAACGCGAACGTCTAGCAATCTAAAGTTTGCGTGTTCGAATCTCATCACGGACAACTTAAGCAGTGGGCGTATAGCGCAAATGTCTAGCAATCCAAAGGCAGCGTGTTCAACTTTACAACTACTTACTACCTTTTAGCTACTTAGCATGTTAGCTTACCCTTCCCCTAACCTTACTCTTAAGCTTAACCCCTAGCCTAGCTAACGTTAGCCAACTCGCTAAAGTTAGCCACCTCGCTAACTGTAGCCACAACAAATTGGAATTCGTAACATATAATACGTTTAGCAAATTCGTAACATATCATAAGAAATGGATGATGGACATCCACAAATTAATACATACCATACGAAACGTAACATATACTAATTGGAGTGTCCCGGATTTACATTTACTATGTTACATCTATTCCTGAGTCCAGGTTGATCCTATGCACAATTGTTAGTGTGTGTTGAGTTTGATCGGCCACTCACTGCTGGGTTGTCCATGTGTCTGTAGAAGAGACAGGCTGGCTCTCCAGGTAGTGGGACACTGCTCTGTCTACTGGAGCCCCGACTCCTCTCATTCCACAGTGACACACAGCCCACTGCAGCTCAGCTCTCAGCGTTCAACACATATGCAGACAGAAACCCTGAAATGCAATGGGAGAGAATGCTTGTCATTCCTTATGGCATACAGCAGCCATAGAGAGCGAGAGAGAGGCGACAAGAGTTGTCTCAGGTGAGCTTACCTGCAGCATTAGGGCCCACTGCGATGATGAGGTCTGAACACTGCAATGTGTTGCTGCCAGAGCCTAGTGATTGTGTGACTTTTGGGCACCACTCAATATGGACCTCCCTGTTAGACATGAGCAACAATCATCAGTCAAAATCATACACATATTTTCTTATAGTGTACTAGCAATCGAAACAAAAAGAGCAGTGCTCAGTGGAGAACAGAAGACTTGTCATTTTAATGATCCGTATGCATTGGATGTTTCAAAAGAACAATCTCTTCTGCAGACTATGAACGAAGATTAAACTAAATAGGATTCTAGTTCTGTGGGTGAAACATTTCAAAGCAGTAGCTACCTAACGAAATTAAAAGCTGAGTTCTTTCACGTACAGTTTGTGTACTGTGGGTTTGTGTACTGATTCACGCAGTCTCCTCTGAACAGTTGATGTTGAGATGTGTCTGTTACATGAACTCTGTGAAGCATTTATTTGGGCTGCGATTTCTGAGGCTGGTCAGTCTAATGAACTTATCCTCTGCAGCAGAGGTAACTCTGGGTCTTCCTTTCCTGTGGCGGTCCTCAGGAGAGCCAGCTTCATCATAGAAACTTTAAAAGTTATTTACATTTTCCAGATTGCCTGACCTTCATGTCTTAAAGTAATGATGGACTGTCATTTCTCATCTTATTTGAGCTGTTCTTGCCATAGTATGGACTTGGTCTTTTACCAAATAGGGCTATCTTCTGTATACCACCCCTACCTTGTCACAACACAACTGATTCAAATGCATTAAGAAGGAAATAAATTCCACAAATGAACTTAACAAGGCACACCTGTTCATTGAAATGCATTCAAGGTGACTACCTCATGAAGCTGGTTGAGAGAATGCCAAGAGTGTGCAAAGCTGTCATCAAGGCAAAGGGTGGCTACTCAAATATAAACTATATTTTGATTTGTTCAACACTTTTTTGGTCACTAAATGATTTCATATGTGTTATTTCATAGTTATGATGTCTTCACTATTATTCTACAATGTAGAAAATAGTAAAAAATAAAGAAAAACCCTTGAATGAGTAGGTGTGTCCAAACTTTTGACTGGTACTGTATATATAAATATATTAATTATATATTTTTTTTTTACTGGGGTGAAAATGCAATCGCTATAAGTGCCCTTGAGTGTTTCAGTGATGTGGTTTATTCCACAATTTGTTATTTAAAACAATATTTATAAACGGTTTACTGCAATAACCTTTTCATTGATCATTACAAACACCTCAAATAAAATTCAAATTATAAAAACAAAGCCTTGCCTACTTTTACAACCTTTGATTTTCATAAAAAGTCAAGTGTTGATTTGATAGAAATAATCAACTCATATAAAATTGCATTTTAATCTCTTTTTTGCTATTACTTTTTCATTGATTGTCATAGAAACATCAAAACAAATGGCAATTATTCTATAAAAAAAATCTGGTATACTTTTATAACCTTTAATTTGCATAAGAAGTCAAGTTTTGATTTGATAGAAATAATCAAATCATATAAAAATGCATTTACAGTGCCTATAGAAATTCTACATCCCCTATTGTTGTGTTACAAAGTGGGATTAAAATGGATTTAATTGTAATTTTTTGTCTATGATCTACACAAAACACTCTAATGTCAAAGTGGAAGAAAAATTCCCACATTTATATACCTTGATTAGATAAGTATTGTGCAATATTTGCCCATTATTCTTCAAGCTCTGTCAAGGTGTTGGGGGATTATGGCTAGACAGCAATTTTCATGTCTTGCCATAGATTTAAGCAGATTTAAGTCAACTGTAACTTGGCCATTCAGGAACAGTCACTGTCTTCTTGGTAAACAACTCCAGTGTAGATTTGGCTTTGTGTTGTAGGTTATTGTCCTGCTGAAAGGTGAATTCCTCTCCCAGTATCTGGTATAAAGCAGACTGAAGCAGGTTTTCCTCTAGGATTTTGCCTGTGCTTAGCTCCATCCCGTTTCTTTTCATCCTGAAAAACTCTCCAGTCTTTGCTGATGTCAAGCATACCCATACCATGATGCAGCCAGCACCATGCTTGAAAATTCGGAGGCAGTTACTCAGTAATGTGTTGTGTTGGATTTGCCCCAAACATAAGACTTTGCATTTAGGCCAAAAAGTGTATTCCTTTGCCATGTTTTTTTGCAGTATTACTTTAGTGCCTTGTTGCATATTCTGTATATTTGTATTATTCTTTTCACTCTGTCATTTAGGTCATTATTGTGGAGTAACTACTATGTTGTTGATCCATCCTCAGTTTTCTCCCATCACAACCATTGAACTCTGTAGCTGTTTTAAAATCCCCAATGGCCTCATGGTGACATCCCTATCCAGTTTCCTTCCTGTCCAGCAACTCAGTTCAGAAGGACAACTGCATCTTTGATGTGTCTGGGTGGTTTAATACATAATCTACAGCATCATTATTAATATTAATTTCTATATTATTTTTCATGACATGTACATTGAAGTATTATTTGCAGTTGTCACTATGATAATGAACACACTCTGAAACAATGATCTGTTACCACCTTATTAATAGGCCTACAGTGTGCAGTAGGATGCGTTGATCAGTTGATTGGCAGGTGTACTGCAGAACAATAAACGATAAACGGTCCGCTGCTGTAGATGCTCGCCAACATTTATAGTTACAGTGGGGAGAACAAGTATTTGATACACTGCCGATTTTGCAGGTTTTCCTACTAACAAAGCATGTAGAGGTCTGTAATTTTTATCATAGGTACACTTCAACTGTGAGAGACGGAATCTAAAACAAAAATCCAGAAAATCACATTGTATGATTTTTAAGTAATTAATTTGCATTTTATTACATGACATAAGTATTTGATACATCAGAAAACCAGAACTTAATATTTGGTACAGAAACCTTTGTTTGCAATTACAGAGATCATACGTTTCCTGTAGGTCTTGACCAGGTTTGCACACACTGCAAGCAGGGATTTTGGCCCACTCCTCCATACAGACCTTCTCCAGATCCTTCAGGTTTCGGGGCTGTCGCTGGGCAATACGGACTTTCAGCTCCCTCCAAAGATTTTCTATTGGGTTCAGGTCTGGTACTGGCTAGGCCACTCCAGAACCTTGAGATGCTTCTTACGGAGCCACTCCTTAGTTTCCCCGGCTGTGTGTTTCGGGTCGTTGTCATGCTGGAAGACCCAGCCACGACCTATCTTCAATGCTCTTACTGAGGGAAGGAGGTTGTTGGCCAAGATCTCGCGATACATGGCCCCATCCATCCTCCCCTCAATACGGTGCAGTCGTTCTGTCCCCTTTGCAGAAAAGCATCACCAAAGAATGATGTTTCCACCGCCATGCTTCACGGTTGGGATGGTGTTCTTGGGGTTGTACTCATCCTTCTTCTTCCTCCAAACACGGCGAGTGGAGTTTAGACCAAAAAGCTCTATTTTTGTCTCATCAGACCACATGACCTTCTCCCATTCCTCCTCTGGATCATCCAGATGGTCATTGGCAAACTTCAGACGGGCCTGGACATGCGCTGGCTTGAGCAGGGAGACCTTGCGTGCGCTGCAGGATTTTAATCCATGACGGCGTAGTGTGTTACTAATGGTTTTATTTGAGACTGTGGTCCCAGCTCTCTTCAGGTCATTGACCAGGTCCTGCCGTGTAGTTCTGGGCTGATCCCTCACCTTCCTCATGATCATTGATGCCCCACGAGGTGAGATCTTGCATGGAGCCCCAGACCGAGGGTGATTGACCGTCATCTTGAACTTCTTCCATTTTCTAATAATTGTGCCAACAGTTGTTGCCTTCTCACCAATCTGCTTGCCTATTGTCCTGTAGCCCATCCCAGCCTTGTGCAGGTCTACAATTTTATCCCTGATGTCCTTACACAGCTCTCTGGTCTTGGCCATTGTGGAGAGGTTGGAGTCTGTTTGATTGAGTGTGTGGACAGGTGTCTTTTATACAGGTAACGAGTTCAAACAGGTGCAGTTAATACAGGTAATGAGTGGAGAACAGGAGGGCTTCTTAAAGAAAAACTAACAGGTCTGTGAGAGCCGGAATTCTTACTGGTTGGTAGGTGATCAAATACTTATGTCATGCAATAAAATGCAAATTAATTACTTAAAAATCATACAATGTGATTTTCTGGATTTTTGTTTTAGATTCTGTCTCTCACAGTTGAAGTGTACCTATGATAAAAAAATTACAGACCTCTACATGCTTTGTAAGTAGGAAAACCTGCAAAATCGGCAGTGTATCAAATACTTGTTCTCCCCACTGTATGTATCATTTATTGTTATAGTTATCGTTTTAGTTATTGTCTTTGGTGTGGATGACCCTTAACAGGAGGTACTGGTGTAGTTTGGTCTTTTTGGGGGGGTCTAACAGTAGTATATCTAATAAACAATGCATGTGCTAAATGTAGGTGAAAAGCTTACCCTCAGTTCAGACAGATATGAAATTGGTGTAAGGCTAATGTCATCTGAATTACCAAAAGCCAACATTTTATTCAAACATTCATGATAAATCTTTTGCAAAATATATTTAAATTAAAGGCCCAGTGCAGTCAAAAACTAGATTTTCCTGTGTTTTATATTTCCACACTATGAGGTTGGAATAATACTATGAAAATTATGATAATGCCCTTTTAGTGTAATAGCTGTTTGAAAAGACCGCCTGAAATTTCAACCTGTTTTGGTGGGATGGAGTTTTGGCCTGTCTGGTGACACGGCCATGTGGTAAATTAGTTAATAGACCAATAAGAAAGAGTTCCAAACCTCTGCCAATAACAGCTAGTTTTCAGTTTTCCCCTCCCCACTCACACCACTCCCAGACAGCCCTAGAAAAAATTATTGCTTGAGAAATTGCTTTGCTAAGAAGCTTTTTCTGTTTCTTTTTGACCATTTTAATTGACAAAAATCACAGTAGGGTACTTCATTGTTACCCAGAAATTATTTGATATTGAGATAAAAATGGCTGCATTGGACCTTTAACAATTATAATGTACGAATACATTTTACATTGTTTTTATCTGTTGCGGTCCAAGAAATGTTAGACATTATGACATCAGATAGAAGGGAGGGAGAAAGGCTGGAGTAAGCTAGGTTTCCATAGACCTTCGATTACATATTGTAGCAGATTTACTTAGTTTATTATGTATATAAATATGTAGAAATGCACAGTGAAATGTCTATCCACGTCATCAATGGTCACACAATGGTCTTGAGGAGTGCTGGCATGGTCTGAGAGTGGAGGAAGTTAGTATGAGTACTGTCCCAGAATCCCAGGTCCAGTGGTGATGTCATGGCCGCCACAGAATGATCCCAACCTGGGTTGAGTGAGAGGGCAGGAGCACAACATTAAATTCAATAGACACGATCATCATTTCTAATCCCAATCTTGCCCGTGCCTTGAATAGAAAGAAAGGAAAAACACTGTAGTTTTAGTGTTGAGCAGGGTGGAGTGAAGTTGCTAATTCCTGGTATGGTACACTCTTAGAAAAAGGGTTCTAAAAGGGTTCTGCGGCTGTCCCCATAGGAGAACCCTTTTTGGTTCCAGGTAGAACTCTTGAGTTCGATGTAGAACCCTTAGTGTGGGTTCTACCTGGAACCAAAAGGGGTTCTTCAAAGGGTTCTCCTATGGGGACAGCCAAATAAACCTTTTTGGTTCTAGATAGCACTTTTTTTCTATGAGTGTATGTGGTTATGCCTTTAGATTGCAGGAAACAGCTGGTTCAGGTTAAAAAAAAAGCTACATTCTCCAACTTCCAGAGGGGGGTAACCCATCCTCACATACTTCGTGACCCCTATAAAATAATGAGTGCATGACGCTCGTAGGTGGGATGGTAAGGTTTGTTTGTGTGCCTTACCAGTAGCAGCACAGCTCCCAGCAGTAGTAGCAGGACAGCCAGCAGACAGGAGGAGATGACTGTGATGACCACCATTCCTCCAGATCGCTTCCCTATCCACTCATCTATGGAGGACCAGGACCTCTCTGCACAGACAGAGAATAAAATAGAATAAAATGTTTTATCGTCCTTTAAAGAGGGAACACAACAAACATGTCTTTGAAACATCTATCCTTTTCAATTCAGGGTTCTTGCAACATTTGAAAACATTCAGATATGAAACGTTCTACTTTGTTGTCTACACAACACACCTGGTTACATGTCGGTCATTGAATTGTGGTAATTTAATTATCTCAATAATAATGTTCCAAGTTCATGTAAGCCCAAAATTATAGCAGCTACTCATAATTTTTTTTGCAATCTGAACATAGAAATGATAGGAGGTCGTCTGTACTCTTTAAAGGTCCTTTATACGAAATAGTGTATGTTCCAGGTGTGTAAGGATCAAAATAAGAATTCTAGAAGAGATGGAGACCTGCACACTGTCAAAAAAGGGGAATACATACAAAACTGAGGCTTATATGCAAAAATAGAGATGTTTTATTGGGACATAATGAAGCCCAAAAGTTAAAAGTTTAGGTGCAGAAAAGTGCATAAATGAAAGGTGAAAAATCTAAACACAAACGTTTTGCCATCAAGTCATCATCAGTGTGGATGGTGAGCACACACACTATGCTTCCATTTAATTGCATATATCACATGATCTAGTGAGCAAATCTATACATGCAAATGTAACAGTATTGCTTCTGTCCCTCTCCTTGCCCCAACCTGGGCTTGAACCAGGGACCCTCTGCCAGTGACATGCGGTCAGGGTAGACTGCCTGCCCTCTGAACATTTATGAAAAAAGAACTGTAATGAAAAATAAATAAATATACTTTTTTATTAATAATAACTTTGTCATCTTCATGTTTTGTCTGCATGATCAAATGGATTTCTGAACTAGTACGGTGATCTGATACAAAATGTCCAAGGAGGCCAGGGGAAAGGTAGCCTCCCTGCTTGCCTTTCTCCCACTCTTCAAACTCCAAACTCAATAGAGCCCCACAGTGGACGTGTCATAATACCCATAAAACCTAGCGGTCAAACAGAGAAATGGTTCCAATCGTTTTCCACCATTCATTTTATCCATAGGATTTTAGAAACACTTAAAATAAGGGCTGAGTTTTGTGTAGTCTTACCCTGATGTGACGTTTTGATAACTGTGTAAATATCTCTCAGATAACGTGACTTTTATCAATATATTCGGCTCTATTTACTCTCAGATTCGAAAATGCTAATTAGCATCAAAGTAGACATCATGCAAGACTACAAATCCCTGCAAGCTCCTGCACGTCATCTTTAGCTGACACCTTTGCTAACAGGTATTGTGTCAATTTAAAACTTGCCCAAAACAGTTCACAGAATTGTCAATTTAAGGAAATGTAGCCAATTTATGCATTACAAAATTGAGTTAACATTAGATAGATAATCCAGAGATTCTTACCTTTGCCTTGATTCGGCAGTCTCATCCAGATCATCATGGCATTTGTAGTTCTGTATGATAGCCAGTCTCATCCAGATCATCATGGCATTTGTAGTTCTGTATGATAGCCATTTCATTTTGGGGAGGTAAATACAGTCGAATATATTGATAAAAGTCACCTTGTCGTAATGAGATTTATACGGTTATCAAAACGTCACGCCAGGGTAAGCCTACACGAAACACAGCCCTTATTTGGTTGTGTTTCGGGATTCATCCAATGGCATTGAGGAGTATACCACCTCAGTCACCGGCTTCATCAATAAGTGCATCAACGACATCGTCCCCACAGTGACCGTACATACATATCCCAACCAGAAGCAATGGATTACAGGCAACATCCGCACTGAGCTAAAGGCTAGAGGTGCCGCTTTCAAGGAGCGGGACACTAATCAGGACGCTTATAAGAAATCCCGCTATGCCCTCAGACGAACCATCAAACAGGAAAAGCGTCAAAACAGGACTAAGATTGAATCCTACTACACCGGTTCTGACGGTCGTCGGATGTGGCAGGGCTTGCAAACTATTAAGGACTACAAAGGGAAACCCAGCCGCAAGTTGTCCATTGACGCGAGACTACCAGACAGGCTAAATGCCTTTTATGCTTGCTTCGAGGCAAGCAACACTGAAGCATGCATGAGAGCACCAGCTGTTCTGGACAACTGTGTGATCACGCTCTCCGTAGCCGATGTGAGCAAGACCTTTAAACAGGTCAACATTCACAAGGCCACGGGGCCAGACGGATTACCAGGACTTGTACTCAGAGCATGCGCGGACCAACTGGCAAGTGTCTTCATTGACATTTTCAACCTCTCCCTGACCGAGTCTGTAATACCTACAGTCGTGGTCAAAAGTTTTGAGAAGGACACAAATATTAATTTTCACAAAGTCTGCTGCCTCAGTTTTTATGATGGCAATTTTCATATACTCCAGAATGTTATGAAGAGTGATCAGATGAATTGCAATTAATTGCAAAGTCCCTCTTTGCCATGAAAATGAACTTAATCCCCCACAAACATTTCCACTGCATTTCAGCCCTGCCACAAAAGGACCAGCTGACATCATGTCAGTGATTCTCTCGTTAACATAGGTGAGAGTGTTGACGAGGACAAGGCTGGAGATCACTCGGTCATGCTGATTGAGTTCGAATAACAGACTGGAAGCTTTAAAAGGAGGGTGGTGCTTGAAATTATTGTTCTTCCTCTGTTAACCATGGTTACCTGCAAAGAAACACATGCCGTCATCATTGCTTTGCACAAAAAGGGCTTCACAGGCAAGGATATTGCTGCTAGTAAGATTGCACCTAAATCAACCATTTATCGGATCATCAAGAACTTCAAGGAGAGAGGTTCAATTGTTGTGAAGAAGGCTTCAGGGCGCCCAAGAAAGTCCAGTAAGCGCCAGGACCGTCTCCTAAAGTTGATTCAGCTGTGGGATCGGGGCACCACCAGTGCAGAGCTTGCTCAGGAATGGCAGCAGGCAGGTGTGAGTGCATCTGCACGCACAGTGAGGCAAATACTTTTGGAGGATGGCCTGGTGTCAAGAAGGGCAGCGAGGAAGCCACTTCTCTCCAGGAAAAACATCAGGGACAGACTGATATTCTGCAAAATGTACAGGGATTGGACTGCTGAGGACTGGGGTAAAGTCATTTTCTCTGATGAATCCCCTTTCCGATTGTTTGGGGCATCCGGAAAAAAGCTTGTCCGGAGAAGACAAGGTGAGCGCTACCATCCGTTCTGTGTAATGCCAACAGTAAAGCATCCTGAGACCATTCATGTGTGGGGTTGCTTCTCAGCCAAGGGAGTGGGCTCACTCACAATTTTGCCTAAGAACACAGCCATGAATAAAGAATGGTACCAGCACATCCTCCGAGAGCAACTTCTCCCAACCATCCAAGAACAGATTGGTGACGAACAATGCCTTTTCCAGCATGATGGAGTGATAACTAAGTGGCTCGGGGAACAAAACATCAACATTTTGGGTCCATGGCCAGGAAAGTCGCCAGACCTTAATCCCATTGAGAACTTGTGGTCAATCCTCAAGAGGCGGGTGGACAAACTAAAACCCACAAATTCTGACAAACTCCAAGCATTGATTATGCAGGAATGGGCTGCCATCAGTCAGGACGTGGCCCAGAAGTTAATTGACAGCATGCCAGGGCAGATTGCGGCGGTCTTGAAAAAGAAGGGTCAACTCTGCAAATATTGACTCTTTGCATAAACTTAATGTAATTGTCAATAAAAGCCTTTGACACTTATGGAATGCTTGTAATTATACTTCAGTATACCATAGTAACATCTGACAAAAATATCTAAAAACACTGAAGCAGCAAACTTTGTGAAGACCAATACTTGTGTCATTCTCAAAACTTTTGACCACGACTGTACATGTTTCAAGCAGACCACCATAGTCCCTGTGCCCAAGAAAGCGAAGGTAACCTGCCTAAATGACCACCGCCCCGTAGCACTCACGTCGGTAGCCATGAAGTGCTTTGAAAGGCTGGTCATGTCTCATATCAACACTATCATCCCGGAAACCCTAGACCCACTCCAATTCGCATACCGCCCCAACAGATCCACAGATGATGCAATCTCAATCGCACTCCATACTGCCCTTTCCCACCTGGACAAAAGGAACACCTATGTGAGAATGCTGTTCATTGACTACAGCTCAGCGTTCAACACCATAGTGCCCACAAAGCTCATCACTAAGCTAAGGACCCTGGGACTAAACACCTCCCTCTGCAACTGGACTGGACACATTGACTCGGTACCGGTACCCCCTGTATATAGCCACATTATTGTTATTTTATTGTGCAACATTATTTTTTAAAACTTTAGTTTATTTAGTAAATATTTTCTTAACTCCATTTTCTTAAAACTGCATTGTTGGTTAAGGGATTGTAAGTAAGCATTTCACAGTAAGGTCTACACATGTTGTATTCGGCACATGTGACAAATAACATTTGATTTGATTATTTTAAGTGTTTCTAAAATCTCCTATGGGAAAAATGAATGGTGGGAAAACGATTGGAACCATTTCCCTGTTTGACCGCTAGGTTTTATGGGTATTATGACTCATATTGTGGTACTCTATGCAAGGCATTGACATGACTTGCTAATGGGTGTTTCTACTTTATACTGCCAGTTAATGGACGCCGAAAGGCAGGCAGAGTTACATATTGCAGCTTTAACTTTAAGTAAAACATTAGGAAATGTAGCTGGCCACATTTGTTCTATGAAGGACATTAGAAATATGATAGCCATGCATCGTCTTTGCAAAAACAGACCTTGCTTTTTCATTGTAAGCTCATTTACTTGTACCCTGGTATACGGTATACCACCCAAGACTACCGGACAGTGCAAAGGGCCACATGAAAATACACAATTATCCCTCGGCTGGACTCAGAGTCCTACATCTATCCATTTATCTAGTTGCATTGGAATTGAGGGAAAATGTATTGAAATACTTTGCCACGTCCAGTTGAGACCTACCTGATCCGGAGGCGATGGCAGCCCACACTTGACAGATGCTTTGGCTGCACATGGCAGTGCTGGTTACCCTGCCGCTCGCCTCATAGGGGAGGATCTCAGGAATATGATCCACAGACACAACTACACAGAGAGAAGAAAAACTATTTACTACTTCTGGATCATTCCTTTTTACACAATAGATTTCAAACCAGAGCCACACGAGACCTCAATGTGTGGCTCTGTATCAAACACTTTCTCTCAAAGCTGGGCCACGCTGAAGTCATAGAAGTAAGATCAGATCGGAAACTTTTCAGAGTAGTTTATCTGATACTCTTTCCCTACTACCCTCCTATGGAAGATGATAGCCATCCCTTCCTCTTAATGGCTGTTTATCTGCTCTTTATCTAGTGGACTAGATATTACGTTCTGAGAAACATATTCTTGATTTTGCCATCTGATCCTGATGCAAGACATTTATGCAGATTTATACTACTCGCTACCAAGCTACCTGGGTTTGGACGCTATCTGTGCGAGAGCATAAGAAACTTCACCCTTGCTGTTCCTCCAAGTCTTGTCATGTTACAAAATGTTTGAATCTATCCGTAGTCTGAGACAATGGGAGAACAATACAAGCTCAAGTGACAATTACTGTAGAAAGGCCTCATTATGCTGTCTCGGACTGTCATTACTTTCATATGGATAATTGTATTCACTGCAACAGCTATTAATCATAACTAGCTGTACTACTCTCTGATGCCGCAGTAAAAGTACATACTGTACCTTCAGAAAGTATTCACACCCCTTGATTTTTTCCACATTTTGTTATGTTACAGCCTGAATTTAAAATGGATTACATTCTGATTTTGTGTCACTGGCCTACACATAATAAGCCATAATGTCAAAGTGGAATTATGTTTGTAGAATTTTTGACAAATTCATAAAAAATGAAAAGCTGAAATGTCTTGAGTCAATAAGTATTCAACCCCTTTCCTATGGCAAGCCTAAATAAATTCAGGAGTCAAAATCTGCTTAACGACTTGTAAGTTGCATGGACTCACTCTGTGTGCAGTACTAGTGTTTAACATGATTTTTGACTACCTCATCTCTGTACCCCACACATACAATTATCTGTAAGGTCCCTCAGTCGAGCAGTGAATTTCAAACATAGATTCAACCACAAAAACCAGGGAGGTTTTCCTAAGCCTCGCAAATAAGGGCACCTATGGTAGATGGGTAAAAAAAAAAAAAAGCAGACATTGAATATCCCTTTGAGCATGGTGAAGTTATTAATTACAATTTGGATATTGTATCAATACACCCAGTCACTACAAAGATACAGGCGTCCTTCCTAACTCAGTTGCCGGAGAGAAAGGAAACCGCTCAGGGATTTCAGCATGAGGCCAATGGTGACTTTTAAAACAGTTACAGAGTTTAATGGCTGTGATAGGAGAAAACTGAGGATGGATCAACAGCATTGTAGTTACTCCACAATACTAACCTAAATGACAGAGTGAAAAGAAGGTAGTCTGTACAGAATACAAATATTCCAAAACATGCATCCTGTTTGCAATAAGGCACTTAAGTAAAACTGCTAAAATGTGGCAAAGAAATTAACTTTATGTCCTGAATACAAAGCGTTATGTTTGGGGAAAATCCAACACAACACATCACTGAGTACCACTCTTCATATTTTCAAGCATGGTGGTAGCTGCATCATGTTATGTGGGTATGCTTGTCATCGGCAAGGAGTGGACTAGTAATTTTTTTGGATAAAAATAAACGGAATAGAGCTAAGCACAGGCAAAATCCCAGAGGAAAACCTGGTTCAGTCTGCTTACCAACAGACACTGGGAGACAAATTCACCTTTCAGCATAACAATAACCTAAAACACAAGGCCAAATATACACTGGTGTTGCTTACCAAGGCAACATTGAATGTTCCCGAGTGGCCTAGTTGCAGTTTTGACTTAAAATCAGCTTGTAAATCTATGGCAAGACTTCAAAATGGCTAGATCGGGTTCAAGTCCGGGCTCTGGCTGGGCCACTCAAGGACATTCAGAGACTTGTCCCGAAGCCACTCCTGTGTTGTCTTGGCTGTGTGCTTAGGGTCGTAGTCCCATTGGAAGGTGAACCTTCACCCCAGTCTGAGGTCCTGAGTGCTCTGGAGCAGGTTTTCATCAAGGATCTCTAAGTACTTTGCTCCGTTCATCTTTTCCTCGATCCTGACTAGTCTCCCAGTCCCTGCCGTTGAAAAACAACCCCACAGCATGATGCTGCCACCACCATGCTTCACCGTAGGGATGGTGCCAGGTTTCCTCCAGACGTGACGCTTGGAATTCAGGCCAACGAGTTCAATCTTGGTTTCATCAGACCAGAGAATCTTGTTTCTCATGGTCAGAGTCCTTTAGGTGCCTTTTAGCAAACTCCAAGCAAGCTGTCATGTGCCTTTTACTGAGGAGTGGCTTCCGTCTAGCCACTACCATAAAGGCCTGATTGGTGGAGTGCTGCAGAGATGGTTGTCCTTCTGGAAGGTTCTCCCATCTCCACAGAGGAACTCTGGAGCTCTTTCAGAGTGACCATCGGGTTCTTGGTCACCTCCCTGACCAAGGCCATTTTAAGGTATTTCTGTTTTTTAATTTTAATAAATTTGCAATAATTTATATAAACCTGGTTTTGCTTTGTCATTATGGGGTATTGTGTGTAGATTGATGAGGGGAAAAAACGATTCAATCCATTTTAGAATAAGGCTGTAAAGTAACAAAATGTGGAAAAAGTCAAGGGGCCTGAATACTTTCCGAATGCACTGTCGTGGTCAAAAATTTTGAGAATGACACAAGTATTGGTCTTCACAAAGTTTGCTGCTTCAGTGTTTTTAGATATTTTTGTCAGATGTTACTATGGTATACTGAAGTATAATTACAAGCATTCCGTAAGTGTCAAAGGCTTTTATTGACAATTACATTAAGTTTATGCAAAGAGTCAATATTTGCAGTGTTGACCCTTCTTTTCAAGTTATCCCTCTCACGTCGCCTCTTCCTCTCTGTCCAGACTCATTGCGGAGAATAAACTAAAGTCCGTGGTGGTGGCGTAGCGTTTGGCCGGAGCAAGGAGTCTGGGTCACTGAGGTATAATAACAACTGGAGACTGCGTCCAAGATGTCCGAGCATTGTTTTCAAGGCAATCTACTCACTTATGCATTCGCCGATCTATGTCCGGGTTGCATTCGGTTTATCCAGACCAATATCACATGCACAGGGAGCAGCAACGATGTCATCCAAATAATTATAATTGAATAATTTAATAGAAGTTTTGTGCACAAAGGTGATGGCTAAAGTGTCTTATTAGGAATTTTCAAATCTGACTTCTCTATGTGGCCATGTATGGAAATTGTCTTTCTGGGCGGGGTGTCAATTAAATTGCAGTACCGAAGCAAAACTGTAGGAGCAGTCTAAACCGTGACTCTGGACCGGAACCCTGGCCCATTGGTCTGGGTAGCGACGAAAACCATAATTCACCTGTTCTTGCTCTTTTTATGTTGCCCAATACTAGCAGAATGTATGGAGGGAAACAGTCTTAAAAACGATTCTATGACCTATTCTACATCAACAGCATATACCAATTTGAGCTTATCAATTGGTATTGATAAGACCGAATGGAATCATTCAATCTGTTCATAAAAAACATTAATTAGGTTTGAAAAACTTTAAACAGTAAGGCTATATAAAGTTCAAGTATTTGAAAGTATTCTATGTTTTCATCATCAAACATTTATTTGGGTCTTATAACATTTTGATCTTTATTACTGATATGTTCAATAACTTAAATATGATTAAGTCAAATTGAAAGCATTCTTTCAACATGATAGCCTGTAGGTAAGTGAAGTATGGTTAGAGTAAAATAAAGTATTAGGCCTATTCAAAAATTGTGACATATTAAAAGATGAACAAACATTGTCCACGTTAGCATTACATCCTTGTGCTTGCATCACTACCATCCCGAAACATAGGCTTGGCCGGGACACTTACTTTGTGGTCGGATTCCCAGGATAAATGCACTGAAGAAAGATGTATAGACATCGCAGATATTTTGGTGTTGATATTGAGACTGTTAAAATGTACTTGGGGTGGCAGGTAGCTTAGTGGTTAAGAGCGTTGTGCCAGTAACCGAAAGGTCGCTGGTTCTAATCCCCAAGCCGACTAGGTGAAAAATCTGTCGATGTGCCCTTGAGCAAGGCACTTAACCCTAATTGCTCCTGTAAGTCGCTCTGGATAAGAGCGTCTGCTAAATTACTAAAATGTAATGTAAATGTACTATTGTCTGGGATCCAGGTAATACACTTGTGTCCCCCGTACATAGCCGCGGGAAGTAGGGGTGCTGCAGAACCCCCTGAAAAAATAAAATAAAAATACATTAACTAAAGTAGTGCACTGGGCCTTTACTAGTATTAGCAGACCGATATAGACATCTGTAGCGCAGGAAAAAAACATATTTTCTGCTTTGGTGAAAAAAGGTAGTTGTATAATTAAGAACAGTATCTTGCAGGATTCAATAGTTGGAGTTGTTGCCCTGTCCCTTTCTCTGTGACATTGTCATTTTAATGGAATCCAGAAAGAACAAAACCTTGTCCTCAAACACTTACATCAAAAGGTGCAACGTTATGGGCAAAGACACAAAACATCCACATCAAATAAAATATTTTTCTTGATCAAATAACATGGAAAATAACCACTTTTTGTGCCGTAAGAATTTACCATCCTTACAAACCACCGAATGTAAATGTACATTACTGTATTGTACATAGGCTGGTCATCTAGGTTTGTACCTGTAGACTTTCCATCACCATGAAGAAAAACAATACACAATACAGTAATTGAGTACATTGAGACGTCAAGTGGTTTGTGATGATGTGGCTCAGTTAGTAGAGCATGGCACTTGCAATGCTAGGGTTGTGGGTTCAATTCCCACGGGGGAACAGTATGAAAATGTATGCACCACAGGAGGTTGGTGGCGCCTTAATTGCGGGGAACGGGCTCGTGGTAATGGCTGGAGCGGAATAGGTGGAATGGTATCGTTCCATTTGAGCCATTCCAGACATTATTATGAGCCATCTTCCCCTCAGCAGCCTCCACAGGTATGCACTCACTACTGTAAGTTACTCTAGATAAGAGCGTCTACTAAAAAGAAAAAGGAATGAATAGACCATTTCAGTTTTCACATAGAAATAGGTTGCATTTGCAAAGTATTTCAAGAAACTTGAAAACATATATCAAGCAAGTATTTTTATATTCCACAAGTATTATCAGATTAACTATTTTGTACAGATCATTATCAGACTCAAGTTACAAATGCTGGTAAACACTCAAATACATTTAGTTTTAAAAAATTTCACAAAAGTAGTGCACTGGGCCTTTACTTTATTAGCGGACCAATATAGAAGTCTTCAGCGCAGGTTTCACCCCCCAGCTGTCATTTATGTTGATTTGTAATCTTAAGGGGTTAGCTATTATCTGACAATAAAGTTAGGTAAATAAATGTATAATTGTATTTTTTTAAAAGTTCATTTTCATAGAATGACCCGTTTACACACTACACAGCAATGATGACAGAATATAAGAGACATGAGAGAAATATAGTATTATTATGAACTTTCTATTTTGATTATTGTGAAAAGAAAAAACTATAAATATATAGATTTTAAAAAAGAGTTTTGATTATCTTGATGCACTCAATTGCATTTTCCTTTCTAAATAGATTTTATTTATGGCATACAAATGGCCTCCAAATAAATGTAGCCTATAATGTGAATTTTAGCATTGTATTTTAAACATAGGACTCGACTCCAGTTATTTTAAATGAAGCAACAAAATTAGACTTCTAAATAGCTATCAAACTACAGTTATTAATTTGCATAATTCCCCAGCCTTAATATCATAAACATATTGATCATGAATGACAGTCAGAAATTGATGATGCCAATGGACCACTAAGTGCAACATTCTTCTCTCGCAAACACTCACTATAATTCTGTGGCTGGTTTTGTCAAATCATAGTCAGCGTAGCTCTTGAGCCTAATGGGGTTAGTGGCTGTGGTTCTCTGTGGCTCATCCTCATAAGCAGGATTTACATAGGGGGAAGGACCCTTCAAGTTGTGAGTGTCATACATGCGCACTGATCCTGGAACTTGGATCTCCTGTTTCTCCTTCCGACAGCAACTGCAGAGGACATAGAGGGTTGGAGAAATCAATGAATGTCAGGTAGCCTATTAGATACATGCTAAGTAGCCGACTATGGAAATGGAAATGAACATTGTGTCTATGAACCCTATGTCTATGAAGTTCAACTGGGAAAGGCAGTAGGTTATATGACTCACAGGACATAGATCAGCAGGATGAGCAACAGCAGCAGCAGCAAGGCCAGGAAGCTACACAGGATAGACGTTATGACAATCATGGCCGCAGACCTTCCCGCAAGGCCATCATCAATGCTGCCAGGGTCTTTCACTGGAGGAATAGACAATGTTATTGTTTTTACGTTTAGCAGATGTACATGGACATTTCCGATTGACTGAATACTGATTGAATATATGGGAAGCCCTTACAAGAGTAAAGAGGGATGTTGTTGGACCACAAACTCTCCGCAACAACTGTTCTGGTTGCTGGGTTGATAAGAACATACTTAAATCTGAAATAGTGGAATAACATAATTTAGGTTGGTTGCATTGAATTCACACAATGGTACTTCAACTTAGATCCAAAGTCAATGCACTGGGGTAAAGGAGGGGTTCTGACCTGGCAGTGGAGCCAACAGGCAATACTCCATTACAGTTCGTAGTGGAGCAGGCTCCGTCAGAGCCAACCCTGAAGTAGTTTGGCCCATTGACGATGGGGCAGAGGTAGTCTTTCTGAAGCCCCAACTTGGTCAGGAAATATTTCTTTGAGGTGTTGGAAGAGAAGGCGGTTGGATAAGGAGAGAGGCTGTCAATGTTGGAAATTGTTTTGTCGGCATCATAAGTGCTGACTCCTGTTGAAAAGTATAAAGGTTTAGAACAAGAAAGAACAAAAATGCAATACTGGGCTTTCTTTTTCTTTGTTCTGTATGTGAAGTACTACATACTGTATCTACTTTGGTGGACCAAAACGTTAAAAAATGTTGACATTGCATGTATTTTTCTTTATAAATCAAAGACGGAAGAATGTTCAATTGCTCTTCCTGTGTGCCATTTGGTTTTATATTTCCTATCAAATGATGAGGATTCCAGTACCTGTATCTATGGCCGGTACCAGCCATATTTCACAGGTAGCAGAAGTGCAGGACAAACTCGTCAGACTGTCGAAGTAACAACTTGGGGACATCAGTATCACTGAATTGGAGGTCAGTTTCCCAGCCAAACTGAAAGGGATTATTGCAGGAGTGTTGTTGACTGGTACAACTGTGAAAGGACAAAGAGAAAAACATTTAGATTATTCCCAAAAACTATTGGTAGTTTGATCATTACAATGAAAGAGAAAACATTTTCTTATCTAAACTGTATCCTCTCTTTGTTTTAGAGAATCTTCTTTTACCTGAAATGTTCCAACACTCACATTCCGGGTGTGTCGAGTGAAACTGCTAGACGGTTGTATAAAAAGCCACTGTTATGGACTTTCTATCCAACTTTGCATCAATATATTTAATTGAAATGACACATCTGTCATCTTGGCCCAATTTCTCAATACTGGCTAAACCAGTGAGGGAGGTCCGGTTATTGTGCAACATATGAGACTTCACACTATTCAAGTTCAGTCATGCCAACTGAATCTGAATACTACCTAGTAATTGAGTCTCCTCCCAATAATATAGGTGAAGTAGAAATATGTTCCATATAGCAGAACGTGTGAGTGGGTTTTCCACGCTGTATTTAAGTGACTAATTTCTGCAATATTGTTCAGCAGAAACTCAGCACATCTGACTAATACTGGTGGAGCCAGCTTGATAGTTTCACACATTAAATAAATAAAAAAGATTGGTCTCTTGTTGTTTTATGGAACCCACCTGTTATTCAGCAAAAACCCTGAGACATTCTCTGGAGCCAACTGAATACACAGGAACTCCAAATGACATAAAACGTTGCTAAATAGTTACATGCAGGCAAATTCAAATCCCCTCTTTCTTTAATTGTTGTAATTTGTTTTCAATTATCATCAATTTAAAAAAATGTATGAGCTACCATACCAGGTCTCAGGGATGGCTAACTCTGGAGATCCCTATGATCTCAACTGAGTTAGGTAAATCTGCTTTTAGTTTTTTTTTTGCACCTTACTTGTGGAATCATCTCCAAATCTCTCTAAAATTGGAAGAGTTGGTGCCTCTAGGGCAATTCAGATGACTGATTGAGGACCTTTTTATTGAAGAATGTGTTTGTTTTATATGATTGTGTTTTTCTTTTCTTGTATTTTGATGTGTATGTTGGATACAGGGTTCATCTGTAAAAGAGACCCTTGGTCTCAGCATGACTCCCTGTCAAATTAAAGGTTAAATAAATATATAAAATTAACTTGCATAACTGAAACTGAGGTAAATAACTTTAAGATCATATGTGAAAGATCATAACTAACAATCCACAAAAAAACTATTCAGACACTCAACATATTGTGAATATTACAACTGATAGTTGTATGAAAAAATTTACTTACTTTGCCCCAACCCAGTCCGGACAGACAGGCACAATACCACATAAAAGAGTAATGCCATTTCTTCTAACACTTTGGTATGCTGTATGTTGCTGACTGCTCCTGGGAAAGTGACTGAACTTGGCTGATGTGAACCGTTCCTAAATAGATTCCCTACCCATCCCTTTTAAAAGAGGAGAATGAATCAAACACAGGTTGGTCTGTATGGGCGTGTGTGGTTATTCCTGATTGAAACCGTTTGTGGTGTTTGCTACAGGTGTTTTGCATGCCTAGACATGCCTACTCTTTTGTAAAGTTTTGTCTGATTTGCTTAATACACCAAAACCTCATGGCACAGCTCATGTTGACTATTATTTCATTCAGGTGAATATTCCTTTGACATATTCTGGGCAGGTATCACCAGTGTCATGACTTTCCCTCATGGGTTGATGATCAAACATGCTGGCTAGGCAAAGGTTTGAACACCCCCCTTCCTGGGGGACAGTTTTATGACCGGTCGTAAATACAGTGCAGACTTTCTCTTCCTTGCCATGAAGTATTGGGAGAAAGGACCCCTTTGTTAATAAAGGAAGTCTTCCCACCAAGACTCCAACATCCAAAAGTGGATAATGAAACAATATTCCTACTTAAAAGAATGTGGGAAATGGTTGGTGGGGACTTAAAGAACAATCATGTCAAATTTGTTACTATGATGTGATGTCATTAAAGACAGTGGAACAACATAACTGTATCTCTGGGGGGCTACACTTCCCAGTTATGAGGTTTGCATCTAATTGTTGTATAAAACGAATGACTAAGAATAATAATACTTTTGTGAAGATAACAATGTGATTTTAGCATTCTAGATGAGATTATTGTTTTCCATATTGATTTGTTCTCAGTCAGTGGCCACGCCCAGATGAGCACAAACATGATGGAACACCCCTTTTACCCCGAGCGCATAAAAAGCGTTGTGACGAAATTCACCTCAGACCAGCAGACGTGAAGCGTGAGCTAAACGTTGTAAAATGGTTAAATTTCTACAAGACCAGAAAAACCTGAAAACGTGAGACGTTAGTCCACACGTTTGAAATGGAGAAACTCTCAACCTCTACACAAAGTGAAGAGGAAGACAATGCACTAGACCTTATCATTTCAGTCTGCAGCTGGCATGTATAGTCGTCTAGAGAACTTTCACTAAAGACACGAGAGGAGAGGACAATCCCTCTCAGACAACCGCAGGTATATCTGAAGTATACATTCTAACCACCACTACGACCAGAAACTCTACCAAGGACATTGAGATCTCTGGTGGGCAAACCAGAGTCCTACATCATCAACTCAACTATCGAGGACAGCAACACGTAAATACATTTTGCATTTGTAATCTGAATGAGCGATTATTAGGGTGCATAAGTATTATGATTACTGTGAGCGTAGTTTCCAAAGTAACTACGATAGTTTGAATCTCTCTCTCCCTTCCATTCTGACCCCTCCACTACCCAAGCAGTCATGCTGTTAGTCCAGTCCACTAGGGACCTGTTTTCATTGTATTACGTTAGTAATCAATAACCTGTGTGTTTGTATTGTATTAGTTAGTTAGTTAGTAAATAGATTATTAAGCCAATTTGTGTATTGCTGATTCATCAATAAGGTTAGGGTTCTTGCAGGTTCAAGGATAATGCGACGTTCAGAATGAGACTGATAAGAGGTAATTATTTGATAAGTGACTGTTATCGATATAACATATCTTCTAAGAGTTTAGTTCGGGAGATGGTAACTCGTTAAACAACTTATTCCGTGGGTTAATTGTTACATGATTAATTTAATCGAGTGACAATTAAACATAGTTAGGTGATTCGATAAATAACAATCATACATTAAAGTAAGTCACATCACGACACCAGTTACCCAATTGTTAATTCATTTCTCCAGAGATGGGGTTACATTGTAAACAGACAGGTGTAAGAATCAATCTTATGTCGAAGCTTGAAAAGCTGTAAATACACCAGCAGAACTATTCATAGTTAGCATTTTTTCTGTTTTTATTACAAACATATCTTCACACCTTCAAAGGTTATCCTATGTAAGTCAAATTATAACACTTGTAGGAATTGATACAGATATTAAACGGTTTAGAATGTGTTTTTCAAAATGAGACAAACCTGATTTATCAGCTATGTAAGTAAAACTGTAGTGATAGGCCACTTTTTTTTAAATAAAAGAAAGGACATGTTATGACTTGTCCATTGTAAAGCAAAGTGTATTTTCCTTAAAGGACATTGCTGTAGTAGTTACTAAGGTGGTGTGTGTTGTAGTTTGTGATCCCAGGGCTATGTGCAGGAGAAGTCGAAATCTCTATCTTGTCTTTGGAAGAGCCATAACTGAAGCCAAAAACACACACACCTCAAGATGAGACATTAGTTGGTAAAGGATATGTAAAATTTTTGTTGCCTTGGCATTCATTGAAATTAACCCCACTAACTACGATTGGATTTCAGGTTAAAGTACCCATTGTTAGGTTCTCTCCTTGTGTGCCTCACCAGTCCAGCACAGCTCCTAGCAGATCCTCAAAGAAGTTATACAGCTGCACCATTGAGAGCATCTTGACTGGCTGCATCACCGCTTGGTACGGCAACCGCAAGGCGCTACAGCGGGTGGTGAGTACAGCCCAGTACATTACTGGGGCCGAGCTCCCTGCCATCCAGGACATCTATACAGAGGAATGGCCACAAAATTGTCAAAGACTCCAGCCACCCAAGCGGTACCAGTGTACCAAGTCTGGAACCAACAGGACCCTGATCGGCTTCTACCCCAAGCCATAAGACTGCTAAACAAGGCTGCTAAATAGCTCATCAAATGGCTACCCGGACTACCTGCATTGACTCTTTTTTTTTTACTAACTATCTTGCACCAACTCACACTGGTCTCTACCCACATATACTTACACACCCAACACACACGCATACTGACGCCACACACACTCACTTTCACCATAAACGCTTCTGCTACAGCTCAGTCTATTATCTATCCTGTTGCCTAGTCACTTTACCCCTACCTATATGTACATAGCTACCTCAATTACCTCATAACCTTGCACATCGACTTTGTGCTGGTACTCCCTGTATATAGCCATGTTATTTTTACTCGTTATTGTTATGTTATTCGCTGTGTATTTATTCTTCGTCACTATTTATATTTTATCTTTAACTCTGCATTGTTGGAAAAGGACCCGTAAGTAAGCATTTCACTGTTAGTCTACACCGGTTGTTTACAAAGCATGTGAGAAATAACATTAGATTTTCATTTGACTACAAACAAAATGCATTGAGACTGTAAACAAGACATTCCGATAGCTTCATAGATATAGGCAGGTCTTGTTTACATTGTCAACTGCACTGCTGCATCTCCAGTTCTGAAACTTTAGAGCAACAACCCCCTTCGGAGAGAGTTTGTGAAAAGACTTGATAGAAGTGGAAAAAGATTAAGCTTAACAGAACAAAAGGTATCAAATTAAAAAGGAAGGAAGGGAGGAAGGAAGGAAGCCTTACTCTTTTCTTATCTTAGAATAGGAACAATCAAAATAGTATGTTATGTTGTGAGTACGAGTGCAGTACAGTAGTTGAGAGCTATTCCTTATACGTCATTGGATGAACAAGACAACTGCCAGAGCAATAAAGATGACAACATACCCTGCAATGATTGCTTCCTGGTAAAGTTGTACTGTAATTGCAGATCCATGTTTTACTCAAGTTATTACTGCAAGCACTTCTTTTAAAAAATCCCAATATGAGCATCTGCTTTCCTCTTGGAACAAATACTCAAAGAAATCCATTATCCTTCCCCAAATTCATTTCACAAGTGGAATGAGTGGAGAGTGACCCCTATAGGAGTATTATGTCCTGATCAGCATTGTGGAAATAGCTTGACAATGCTTGTCCTTAAGTAAATGTATGGCTTATGAAATTGGGTTATCATTAAATAATAAACTATTCCAGAAGATTCTATAGGAGGAAAATACAGCAAATATAGGCCTTATTCTTCCCAGATGTTTATTAAAAATATACACAAGCACAGTATAAAAAATAAACAAAAGTGAGCAATTATACTACCACACAAAAGGACAATTTTTAGAAGGAGAGACATGCATGAAAACAACACCTTGATCATCGTATTCATTAGGGCACACTGCAGGAAAAGGTTTTGCAACGGAAAACTAAAATGTGCATTTCTTATTGGAGCATTTCAAGTTCAGGTATTCCCACCCTGTTTCAGTCAGTTTTCTTCCGTTTGGTGCCTAATGAATACGACCCAGCTTTGTCAACCTCAATTCACTGAATTGGAAGGAGGTCCTCTAAACCAGTGTTTCCCAACCCTCCTCCTTGAGTACCCCCAACAGTACACATGTTTATTGTAACCCTGGACAAGCACACCTGATTCAACTTGTCAACTAATCATCAAGCCCTCAATGAGTTGAATGAGGCTTGTTTGTCCAGGGTTACAACGAAAATGTGTACTTTTGGGGATTCTCGAGGACCAGGGTCGGTAAACACTGCTCTAAACTACAAACATGAGTTTGGAAGAATGTCAGTTCCCTAACAGAGGCTCATCTCCCTTGGCTCTCTCTCAGATAATGTCTATGGAGTCCATGACATTGATAAAAGCTGGGCTGTGTTGATTTCTGAACAGGTATTAGATATTGGCCCCCCCGTTCAATTTCTTCCTGAAGCGTGTCTCATGACCCGGTGCCAGGCATTCACCTCTTCCCCATGACGAAGCTGGGCGCCTCTGCATCATCCTCAGCCTCCCTCTCCTGGTCGTCCTCTTCACTGCTGGAGGAGGACTTCTCAGAATCTGAACAGAGGGGACACAAATAATCTAAAATCAGTCTCTGCCATAACTTATTACCCTTACCATCTTCCACCAAGAAACTGTACTGGGCCGGGATTAGCATCGTTAAATCTCTGAGCGGTTTTCCAAAACAATCGCTACTAACGTTGCACTTAAAAATGCTCGTAATTTAACGAATGCATCAGACCACTCGTAGAAGTGCATCTTTGGATGATATTTTTCTCTCCCGCATCACTTTACACAATAGAGGTAGAAAGAGGGCTCTAGATGGATATAACTAATTTTAGCATGGACATTGCCATTGAGGGCTTCTGCCATTTAAAAGTCAACTGGGGGTTGGGGATTCCTATGGGTTGGGAGCAATGTTCCCTCCATTTTTCTTTTGATACTCACTCATAAAAACAGCAGCTCTTTGCTGTATTCGTTGACAGTCACTCTGTAGTCATGGTTTCAAACTTTTTGAAATCTCACAGTATCAACTTTGCTGTAGATTTATTTTATGCCTGCTACTTTACTGCAGACACAGTAATCTGAGCCATTCGATTGGCCAGCGGTAGGCCTATAGTGCACTTGATTTGCTCTCCAGGCCCGCCAGGAAGGCAGGGTTTGTCTTTCGAGTGGCGCAGTGGTCTAAGGCACTGCATTGCAGTGCTAGCTGTGCCACTAGAGATCCTGGTTCGAATCCAGGCTCTGTCGTAGCCGGCCGCGACCGGGAGACCCATGGGGCGGCGCACAATTGGCCCAGCGTCGTCCAGGGTAGGGGAGGGAATGGCCGGCAGGGATGTAGCTCAGTTGGTAGAGCATGGCGTTTGCAACGCCAGGGTTGTGGGTTCGATTCCCACGGGGGGCCAGTATAAAAAATATATATATATATATATATTCAATTCATGTATGCACTCACTAACTGTAAGTCGCTCTGGATAAGAGCTTCTGCTAAATGACAAAAATGTAAATGTAAATGTTTGTACCTTCAGACACATGAACTGGTTCAAAATGGCAACAGTTCACCTACCCGGCGCACAGGGCAGCTGAATCGGGTGCACCTACCGCCAACTACCAGAGACAAAAAAATTATAAAAATAGGAACAAGGCTTTATCATTGGGTTTTTTACAGAAATGTTTGGCGATCGACCGGTTGGTGACCACTGCTCTAGAAAGTTGAGTATAGTTTAATCTTGTGCTTCTCTGTGGGCTGAAATTTCTTGTACTGTCTTTGGCATTGTCTTCTAAATTAGGTGGCCTATGAATTGTAAATGGCTTTAAGCTATATCACCACCATCTCGTGGCCACAATAAATGACAAGATTTGGTTCAGGACTCCAGCTGGCGGCGGTAAATCACCAATATCAGCTTTACAACTTACGCACTGATGTTTGGCGATTAGGCCTGGCTTGCACTCAGCGTTCCAATTCATCCCAATGGTGTTCGATGGGGTTGAAGTCAGGGCTCTGTGCAGGCCAGTTCTTCCACACCGATCTCGACAAACCATTTCTGTATGGACCTCGCTTTGTGCACGGGGGCATTGTCATGCTGAAACAGGAAAGGGCCTTCCCCAAACTGTTGCCACAAATTTGGAAGCACAGAATCGTCTAGAATGTCATTATATGCTGTAGCGTTAAGATTTCCCTTCACTAAGGGGCCTAGCCCGAACCATGAAAAACAGCCCCAGGCCATTATTCCTCCTCCAACAAACTTTACAGTTGGCACTATGCATTCGGGCAGGTAGTGGTCTCCTGGCATCCGCCAAACCCAGATTCCTCTGTCGGACTGCCAGATGGTGAAGCGTGATTCATCACTCCAGAGAACGCGTTTCCACTGCTCCAGAGTCCATTGGCGGCGAGCTTTACACCACTCCAGCCGACGCTTGGCATTGCACATGGTGATCTTAGGCTTGTGTGCGGCTGCTCGGCCATGGAAACCCATATCATGAAGCTCCCGACGAACAGTTCTTGTGCTGACGTTGCTTCCAGAGGCAGTTTGGAACTCGGTAGTGAGTGTTGCAACCGAGAACAGACGATTTTTACGCGCTACGCGCTTCAGCACTCGCCGGTCCCGTTCTGTGAGCATGTGTGGCCTACCACTTCGCAGCTGAGCCATTGCTGCGCCTAGACGGTTCCACTTCACAATAACAGCAATTACAGTTGCTGTTATACCGGGGCAGCTCTAGCAGCGCAGACATTTGAAATAGCCAAATCCACTAATTTGAAGGCGTATCCACATACTTTTGTATATATAGTGTAATTAACAACTTTAAAATGGAGATGGCCCTCAATGGCGCTGCCCATGCTGTCACAGACTCCATAATGGCACAGATACAAAGATGAGTCCTCTTTATCTCTATGCTTTACACCCAGAAGATCTCAGAAAACACAGAATCAAAATGTTTATCTGTCTCTCTGTGACCACCGATAACTTCATAGTTTGATACAAATATGAGGTTTGCAATATTACAAACAAGCAAATCAAGGAAAAATAATGTATCTAATTAAAATCGATATGACTGTATTACAAAACAGCGATTTTAGGCTACATATTTCAATTAGGCTTAGGAGGTATTCGGTATATACCAAGGTATTTTAAAGTACCGACGGTATGATTTTCAACACCCCCCCACCTCAAAATATGAAGAAAAAAAATCCATTGAGCCAGTCCCATGGTATGTTTTTTACCAAGGCCCCATGGAGCAAACATGACAATCCACTGTTGAGCAGCACAAGCGAGGTGATCAAGTTACACTACTAATGTTTGCCAGCTAAATCTTAACTATCTAAGATGTGCCAAATACACTTTCTCCTACTCCAATTTTGCTAACTTGCTAGCTATAGGTGGCTAGCTTGAAAGATTAAGCTTCTTGGTTACAGCAGAAACAATCAATCCCCTCCTGGATCAACCTTTTAAAATAGTTCTATAACTTTATGAGCTGGGTTGTCTGTCCTTGCATTTAGTTTATGTTCACTTGTGCTTATTAGCATTTAGCTACTAGCATCCGCATTCACTAGTACTTTGTTAGTTTTACATTTGGAAAGAAATAGTGTCCCTTGTGTGCCCTGCCAGTAATACCGTATACCCCGGTATGGTACAGGAACAGGATGAAGGTATGGAAATCTGGATACTGCCCAACCCTAATTTCAATCATATTGAAATCACTTTCATTGCATTATTTTGCCAGTTGTAGGCTATTGTAATCCTTTGTCAGTATTGTGCATTCATTCTAATGTTAAGGTAAGAATATGAATAGAAAAAGCTGATCCAAAGTCAAAGACATATCAACGCACTTATCGAACATTCTCTCTACGTGGTGTTTTGAGAAACGCTTGTTACATCTTCAGCCATTAGGAAAACAATGCCTTGTTTAAACACTCGTAGGCTTAAGTTCCATCTCTATCAGGAAACCTAGCCCTGTACAGGGATCTTTCTACCATTGAAATCCTTAGGCAGGCTGCCTAAATGTCAAAACAGTGTTAAAAATATATATATTTTGGGATGGAAAAACACTTTCAGTGTAAACTTAAAACGACTAAAATCAGATACAGTGCATTCGGAAAGTATTCAGACACCTTCCCTTTTTCCACATTGTTACGTTACAGCCTTATTCTAAAATGTATTAAATAAAATAAAAATGTCCTCATCTACACACAATACCCCATAATATCAAAACAAATGTGATATTTTTGCAAATGTATTACAAATAAAACATACCTTATTTACATAAGTATTCAGACCCTTTGCTATGAGACTCGAAATTGCATCCTGTTTAAATTGATCATCCTTGATGTTTCTACAACTTGATTGGAGTCCACCTGTGGTAAATTCAGTTAATTGGACATGATTTGGAAAGGCACACACGTGTCTATATAAGGTCCCACAGTTGACAGTGCATGTCTGAGCAGAAACCAAGCCATGAGGTCAAAGGAATTGTCCGTTGAGCTCAGAGACAGGATTGTATCAAGGCACAGATCTGGGGAAGGGTACCAAAAAATGTCTACAGCATTGAAGGTCCTCAAGAACACAGTGGCTTCCATCATTCTTAAATGGAAAAAGTGTGGAACCACCAAGACTCTTCCTATAGCTGGCCGCCCGGCCAAACTGAGCAATCGGGGGAGAAGGGCCTTGGCCAGGGAGGTGACCAAGAACCCGATGGTCACTCTGACAGAGCTCCAGAGTTCCTCTGTGGAGATGGGAGAACCTTCCAGAAGGACAACCATCTCTGCAGCACTCCACCAATCAGGCCTTGATGGTAGAGTGTCCAGACGGAAGCCACTCCTCAGTAAAAGACACATGACAGCCTGCTTGGAGTTTGCCAAAAGGCCACTACAGGACTCAGACCATGAGAAACAAGATTGTCTGGTCTGATGAAACCAAGATTGAACTCTTTGGCCTGAATGTCAAGTGTCACGTCTGGAGGAAACCTGGCACCATCCCTATGGTGAAGCATGGTGGTGGCAGCATCATGCTGTGGGGATGTTTTTCAGCAGCAGGGACTGGGAGACTTGTCAGGATCGAGGGAAAGATGAACAGAGCAAAGTACAGAGAGATCCTTGATGAAAACCTGCTCAGGACCACCTTCCAACAGGTTCACCTGCCAACAGGACAACAACCCTAAGCATACAGCCAAGACAGCGCAGGAGTGGCTACGGGACAAGTCTCTGAATGTCCTTGAGTGGCCCAGCCAGAGCCGGGACTTGAACCTGATCGAACATCTCTGGAGAGACCTGAAAATAGCTGTGCAGCGACGCTCCCCATCCAACCTGACAGAGCTTGAGAGGATCTGCAGAGAAGAAGGGGAGAAACTCCCCAAATACAGGTGTGCCAAGCTTGTAGCGTCATACCCAAGAAGACTTGAGGCTGTAATCGCTACCAAAGGTGCTTCAACAAAGTACTGAGTAAAGGGTCTGAATACTTATGTAACTGTGATATTTAAGTTTCATATTTTTTTATAAATTTGCAAAATTTACAAAAACCTGTTTTTGCTTTGTCATTATGGAGTATGGTGTGTAGATTGAGGGGGGGGGGAAACGGTTTTAATCAATTTTAGAATGCTGTAACGTAACACGTGGAAAACGTCAAGGGTGTCTGAATACTTTCCGAATGCACTGTAAAGTACTTAGAAAAGATAATGGACCTATTAATTTTTTTATAATCTTTCACAACAATCACCAAAATAAAAGCTAGATGGGAGAATTTAAAGTTCCAAAAACAATGAATTTAGCAGTATTGATTTTGTTATTATGTTTGAGCAAAATAAAGCATAGAATTTAAGGAAATTTGCTTTAAAACTGCCAAATCTTCTCTCAGCTCCATGGCAGAATATGTAGAATCGCAGGAAATTAGCTTTAAAACAAACATTTTCTCTCAGCTCCATGGATACATTTGTAGAATTGCAGGAAATTGGCAAATATGTCTCTACACTGTCAAGATGGGGGCCTCTAAAATTCAGCAACACCGACAGGCCGACCGCGCCCATTGCCACGCCCACCACCTAAGCCCCTTTTTGATCCAGAAAAACCTGCTGTAGCATAATATGTGAGTACAATTTGGCTCTTGCACTGGCCATAGCAACACAAGTAGTGGACTTGCTCTTTCTTCACACTTCAAAAGTCTGAAGGGGACTTGTTTCAATGAAATCCATCACTTAAATATTATTTGTTTCATTTACCTTCACCTTTGTTGGCTTCCTGCTTGGCTTTCTTTGCCATAAGCTTCTTCTGCTTCAGCTTTTCCCTGAAATACAAATACGTGTAACGTAACAAACCATCAGCAAGTATAACGTTTACAGCAGAGACTCAAAGAATAAAGGCAATAGGCTCTATACATTTTATTTTTAGTGGGTCCTTGATTAATGCACCAACCTTTTCTTCCTGCGTTTGGCTGTTCTTTCATCAGCTGCCTGTTGGTTATCTGACACCTTGTCAAGATAGTCCAAATCCATCTTTTGCTGCAAGAAAAAGGAAAGAGTTTATTGCTTAACCCCACCGCTTAAAATAAATTGGTTCCCATGAGAAACGATAAGGTCAGCTGCCCACCTTCTCAGTCATCTTGTCCAGGAAGTCCTGTCTCTGATACTCTCGCCTGCGAAGGTGTCTGTACACATGGAACTCTCCACTGCCAGCCCCTGCACTGGAGCCTGGAGGAGGGGGAGATTCATTACACATCTCATCAGCGGGCTTAAAGTGCTTTTATTAAAATCAACTCAGTAGTAGGGGGGTAAGATTTCCAGTGCCAGAATTGTGCCAACAAGCCATTGCCTACCTAATAATGTGATAGTGTGGATGCGCGTAGATAACGAGTCTTGCAAGATAAATAACCATAATTCTTGCAAAGCTCGCTCAACTCTTTGGCTGCAAAAAAAGCACTTGCACGTGCCCTTACCTAAGAATTCACAAATTCATCCGCCACAGGTAGTTAGCTAAAGTTAGCAGATTGCAGGCTTACCCATCACATCCCGCACAAACTCTGGAGGAGCCCGAGGGTTCCATTCTTTTGGTCGGTCTGGGATAGGGGCAGGTTTATCCTACAAACATACATGAGAGTATTCATTTTTACGATAATTAGCTAGCTAGTATAGTCATTCACTGTTCTAGCTTGCCTAATACATCAGACTGTTACCATGGTTACCCCATGGATATTCAGTCTGAATGAAGTTGCCCTAAAAGTCTCTACAAGCCAGAATGTTGAATAAAATTATATTTAAACTTACTTTACTGGTTGTCCATTCTGTTGGTCCTTTTGATGGTAGGAAGTGGTGATAAAATGTCCACAGAAAAGTATAATTAAACCAACTTTTCAAAGCGCTTCTTCTTCTATGGTTTATTGGCGATCACACAATTGAATGTGCATCCCGCCACCTTCTATGCGGGATGGAAACAGGATTCCCCCCAAAAACGTAACTACCCAAAAATAAATAAATAAAATCAAACATAAAATCAAACAACTTTTGTTAAAAAATAAATAAATCCCTACACAGGCTCAGGGGGAACCTGGGAGGGCAGGTCTTCCAGCCAGTACCCCTTGCAAACTTTCAGATGTAAAATCCTTGAGTCCCAATAACGTTTCTGCAACAGCCACAATAATGTCCAGATTCCTCGACTTCTTTGAGACTTGTGCTGTACAATTTATAACTGTAGAAATGAATGCAACAAAATCCACCTTTAACACACAGGGTATCTTTTGTCTGGCAACAAACATTTACTACAGGCTTTGGTATATCCACTAGCATAACTTGTTTTCTAAATTGTTAACCTCCGCATAGGAGATTCGATTGACCGCTCTAACTTTTGCCACCTCAATTTCCTTCACTCTTAAAGGGCACTCCAGGAATTCAGAATCATGAACCCCACCACAATTGCAACACCGTCGTCCTTCTAGTATCAGCGTTTGGAAAAGTCGGTTTAATAATAATGCACTTTCCTGTGGATATTTTTTCTCAAATTCCTACCCACAAAAGGACTAACCGCACACACAACTGGTAGAGTACCTTGAAATAAAAGTGTATTCAACATTCTGGCTTGTAGAGCTTGTGAGGAAGTTTTCCAAACAAATGAATGGCATTAATCTCTGACTGTCAACCAGGCAATGTTCTAGCTAACTACTGTAGCTAGCTAACTATTAGCTGCGTAAGCACAGATTCACTGCGGTTGGCGCTAACGTTAGCTAGCCTTTCTAGCTGTGGAGATAAACATGTGCCCATTTGAAGATATCCTCAAAGACAAGAACCTCCCCAGACACTTACAGGGTTTCTCATCAATCTCTCCAATTTAAGGCGCTGCTCCTCTGCGGGAGTTTTGGCTATAATCAAAGGTTGAGATTCCTTTCCTGACGGTTTCCCTGGTCGACCATCTTTCTCCTTGGTCGCCGACATCTTTCGAATTTGATGTTTGTCTTCTTCTACATTGATTTGTAAGTTAAAGGTTTAGCTCCACCTAGCGTACTGGGGCTGCATACTGAGGGATAAGGGGGTGCATTGCTGGAAATGATAAATGAGTATGAGCTAAATTGGTGAGGTTATTGTTTTACTCTTGGTATATTAGGCAAGCACTCGTAGAAAAACACAAATAACGATGTTCTTTCAAATGAAGGTAATGGATTTACCTTGCAGAATGTTATTCTAAAGAAGGCCCAGCACCTCCTTGGGAGAGTTGTAATGCAGAGTTCATTATATGCCAGTAGGGGGCACTCCTCCCTCTAGTTTATAGGATCGATCTGCATTTGCTACTACCATGTTTTGACTTATAATTAATGATATTTATAAACTAGGTGTTTCGAGCCCTGACTGCTGATTGGCTGACAGTCGTGTTATATCAGACTGTATAACAGGGGTATGCCAAAACATTTATTTTTACTGCTCTAATTACGTTGATAACCAGTTTATAATAGCAATAAGGCACCTCGGGGGTTTGTGGTGTGTGACCAATATACCACGGCTAAGGGCTGTATCCAGGCACTCCACGGTGTGTTGTGTGTAAGAACAGCCCTTTTTGATTCGTCCCAAAAAAAACTATTTCGGCGCGCGCGGGCGACTGTACATGCTCTGAGGGAGAGAGCGCAAAGATGAGAAGGAGAACTGGAGGTAAACTTTGTTAGCTTGCTATTACTATAGCACATTTTGTTAGCCCATGATGATGTTATTCAGAGTTATTGACCTCACAGTAAGCCAGATTCGAGTGTCTTACATTTCAACATGTTGACTCAAAAGCTGCACTGACAGATAACGTTAAGCTAACTAACTAACGTGAGGGACTACCCAGTCTCGCTAGTAATGCTACTTCATTAGCAACCTAGCAAATTTTATGAGCAGGGTTTTGACAGTACCGTTATTGATTGGCTATCTGGACACTGAATCCAACTGCTGGAGCTCAGTTCACCACCCGACAAAGTATCACTAGCTAACCAATTACTGTCTAATCAAGTACTGTCCTAATATGCTAAAAGTTACTAATAAAGATAGCTAGCTAACTTAAGGCTAACATGACGGTTAGTAACTTTTGGTAACGTCAACTCAATTAGCTAGTTAACGTTACGTTATCTGTTGAAAAAAAAAAGCTTAATAGCTGTTAAATTTTTTTCAAATTTATAGAAGATTGACATATGGAATTGAAGATGCAGAGATGGTTGTTGTGTTTGCAGGAGTAAGTTAATAGATTGTGTGTATACAATACAATTATTTAGCATCTCTAGCTACATAGATGGGTAGGCTGACAACGTTACGAAAACGATGTGCGCGCTTCCATTGCATGGGGCATAAGTCAGCCTGTTGTGATTCTGGAGTGACACTGTGTGTGTGAATCATAAGTGGCTTGTTTCATCATGTTATTGATACCATGTCTTGTTTTGACAGCTTTTATGTCAATGCAACTATGGCTACAATTCGCTAGCTAGCTAACCAACAACTTTAACGATGTATTTCAAACCATAAGTGGTCAGTGTGCAAATGTATTTATTTTTCAATAAACATTGGAGACGAAATATAGCATACGTGTAAAACAATCTAAGCCAACCTCGTCTGTTTTGCCCCATGGTTGCACGCATTTCGATTTTGTTGCTAAAGCGACAGAGAACACAGGTATTGTGGTTAGTGAAGTGTAAGACAGTTGAACGTTAATCAGGTTAAGATTGAGTGAACTGCTGATATCATTAAGGAACAGAAATGATCCCAGATTTTACCTTTAGCTCAATTCAGTTAAACATTATTTGCCTGTTGTTCATAGTGTGTGTGTTTGTCTGTTCAGAATACTCCATATTGCTATGGCACTGATACTATGCCATCTCTGTAACAGTATAGGAGATCCAGGAGAGCAGAACTTCAGACAGCAAGGAAGAGAGGGAGCGAGAGAGGAGCAGACCGAACAGAGAGAGAACACAGGAGAACATAGAGCGATGGGAGGCCCAAACAAGACAAACATGGCATATTCCTCTCAAGCCAGAGGAAGTAGTCCATGCTAAACTTTAGATTGTAATATATATATTTTTAAATATTATTGACACCATATTCCATGGATTTACTGACCACAATCCATTGAATAATATTAAGAAGTGTTAATTATTAGGCATCAGGAGAGCACAACGCATGGAAGAAAGTAGTGAGATATGCAATATAGCGTTATGTTTCTGCAAAATGTGGGGTGCTTCATTTCGGTCACGCAGGGATCAAATCTCCCCCCGTCCCAGGTCTTCGGGGCTGATCCCCGGATGTTCTGAATGTCTAGTGATGTCCCTGGCCCTAACCTTCAGAAAAATAAAGAATATGCATATAACTCCATTTCTTTTCATTATATATATATATATATATTTTGGGGGGAATTTACTGTAGCTTTCCTAGTCAGACTCAGACATCAACATCATGCACATTGCTCAGTATAGAGCAAACTAACCTCACTTATCCATACCAAAGCCGACACACAATCAATGGTCTGGTCTCTGTTATGACAAACATATCAACTAATGCAAAATGCTCTGAATGGTCAAAGCCACAGTGTTAGAGAAAATGCTGTTTCAAATAGGCTTACTAATTTCAGTCCCACAGAGGAAGGCAATTACAGAAGGCAAATAAGATACACACTCAAAATGCATCAACTCATAGCATTTTAATGAATTAGACTGGATAATTCCTCCCTCTGCACATCCAAATCAAATCACATTTTATTTGTCACATACGCCGAATACAACAGGGTTTAGACCTCACAGTGAAATGAAACTCCTGAGTGGCGCAGTGGTCTAAGGCACTGCATCGCAGTGCTAACTGTGCCACTAGATCCTGGTTCGAATCCAGGCTCTGTCGCAGCCGGCCGCGACTGGGAGACTCATGGGCGGCGCACAATTGGCCCAGGGTAGGGGAGGGGAGGGAATGGCCGGCAGGGATGTAGCTCAGTTGATAGAGCATGGCGTTTGCAACGCCAGGGTTGTGGGTTCGATTCCCACGGGGGGCCAGTATATAAAAAAAAAAATGTATTCACTAACTGTAAGTCGCTCTGGATAAGAGTGTCTGCTAAATGACTAAAAAAAAAAAAAAAAAAAAATGCTTACTTACAAGCCCTTAACCAACAATGCAGTCTTAGCAAAAATAAGTTCAGTAAAAAATAGATAAGTAAAATTAAAAACAATAAAATAATTAAAGAGCAGCAGTAAAATAACTAGCGAGGCTATATACAGGGGGTACCGGTACAGAGTCAATGTGCGGGGGCACAGGTTAGTCGAGGTAATTGAGGTAATATGTACATGTAGGTAGTTAAAGTGACTATGCATACAGTTGAAGTCGGAAGTTTACATACACTTAGGTTGGAGTCATTAAAACTAGTTTTTCAACCACTCCACACATTTCTTGTTAACAAACTATAGTTTTGGCAAGTCGGTTAGGACATCTACTTTGTGCATGATACAAGTCATTTTCCAACAATTGTTTACAGACAGATAATTCACTGTATCACAATTCCAGAGGTCAGAAGTTTACATACACTAAGTTGACTGTGCCTTTAAACAGCTTGGAAAATTCCAGAAAATGATGTCATGGCTTTAGAAGCTTCTGATAGGCTAATTGACATCATTTGAGTCAATTGGAGGTGTACCTGTGGATGTTTTTCAAGGCCTATCTTCAAACTCAGTGCCTCTTTGCTTGACATCATGGGAAAATAAAAATAAATCAGCCAAGACCTCCGAATTTTTTTTTGTAGACCTCCACAGGTCTGGTTCATCCTTGGGAGCAATTTCCAAACGCCTGAAGGTACCACGTTCATCTGTACAAACAATAGTACGCAAGTATAAACACCATGGGGCCATGCAGCTGTCATATCACTTAGGAAGGAGACGCGTTCTGTCTCCTAGAGATGAACGTACTTTGGTGCGAAAAGTGCAAATCAATCCCAGAACAACAATCCCTGCGCCACTCAGGAGTTTCATTTCACTGTGAGGTCTAAACCCTGTTGTATTCGGCGTATGTGACAAATAAAATGTGATTTGATTTGGATGTGCAGAGGGAGGAATTATCCAGTCTAATTCATTAAAATGCTATGAGTTGATGCATTTTGAGTGTGTATCTTATTTGCCTTCTGTAATTGCCTTCCTCTGTGGGACTGAAAGTAGTAAGCCTATTTGAAACAGCATTTTCTCTAACACTGTGGCTTTGACCATTCAGAGCATTTTGCATTAGTTGATATGTTTGTCATAACAGAGACCAGACCATTGATTGTGTGTCGGCTTTGGTATGGATAAGTGAGGTTAGTTTGCTCTATACTGAGCAATGTGCATGATGTTGATGTCTGAGTCTGACTAGGAAAGCTACAGTAGATGTTGGAGGAAACAGGTACAAAAGTATCTATATCCACAGTAAAACGTGTCCTATATTGACACAACCTGAAAGGCCGCTCAGCAAGGAAGAAGCCACTGCTCCAAAACCGCCATAAAAAAGCCAGACTATGGTTTGCAACTGCACATGGGGACAAAAATCGTACTTTTTGGAGAAATGTCCTCTGGTCTGATGAAACAAAAATATAACTGTCCATAATGACCGTCGTTATGTTTGGAGGAAAAGGGGGGGTGGCTTGCAAGCCGAAGAACACCATCCCAACCGTGAAGCACGGGGGTGGCAGCATCATGCTGTGGGGGTGCATTGCTGAAGGAGGAACTGGTGCACTTCACAAAATAGATGGCATCATAAGGAAGGAAAATGATGTGGATATATTGAAGCAACATCTCAAGACATCAGTCAGGAAGTTAAAGCTTGGGCGCAAATGGGTCTTCCAAATGGACAATGACCCCAAGCATACTTCCAAAGTTGTGGAAAAATGACTTAAGGACAACAAAGCGAAGGTATTGGAGTGGCCATCACAAAGCCCTGAACTCAATCCTATAGAAAATGTGTGGGAAGAACTGAAAAAGCGTGTGCAAG